CGGTCAAAATATCAGCCGACCTTGCATAGCCTAGCTGCTAATCAGAAGTGATGGCCCTCGGCCGATCACCTACCCAGCATTGTTCAAACTGTCAGCTGACCTTGCATGGCTTAGCTGCCCCCTCGGCCGATCACCTACCCAGCAATGTTCAGAACTGTCAGCCAATCTTGCATGGCTTAGCTGCCCCCTCAGCCGATCACCTACCCAGCAATGTTTAAAACTGTCAGCCGGCCTTGCATAGCTTAGCTATCTTTCATCAGCCAAAAAACTGTCAGCCGACCTTGCATTGGTTAGCTATCAGCCGATACACAAATACAGGGACTTGACTTCCCAGCACAGCTTCCTCCTGATCGGTTTATGATAAATCTATGTAGCTGGCTGACCCTTCTTCACCTTGATACTGGGATCACATCAGCCAATTCATCAACACAGGGTTATTGGCCCTCACCGGCCCATCAGCAGGCCCCATCAACTATGGCCTGTTTGTATTGTCGGGGCTCTCAGTGTAGCTGGGTGATTCCTACTAACTGCCCTGCAGCCTCAGGGTCTGCCTTATCGGGCTAATGGTTCCTTTCCTCAGAGGGCCTTGCCACGGGGGCCTGCACTAACCTCCTCCCAGCCCTTTCAGTCAGGCAGCAGCAAGTCTTCCTCTACTGCCGTCTGCCTCATCTGCGCACAAGAGGGGCACACCGTCTTTTTCCATCTCAAACCCGCCGCCCCCACCAAATTTGCCGACGGAAAGGTTGTATGGGCGAAATGCAACCCGGGCTTTGGCCTCGCCACTCCTGATAACCACATCCTTTGCATCAACTGGAACATCCGGGGCCCAGACGCCATTTCCCAGTGTGCCTCTCTCCATAAAGACGACCGTCTCCACTTGTGTTCCTTCTGTGGCAGCAAAGGGCATTACGCACTCTCCTGGACCTGCCGCACCAAATCTGCTTGAGGATTTCCTTTCTGTCGCCTCCCCCCCTCTCTTTCTTACACCAATTTTTCGTCTTCTGTCGTCTCTCGCGCCCCCCTTCCCCTTTCTGTGGCCCATCACCATTCTATCTTTGAATGTGTCGTCCATCCTTACAATCCCGATGCCTTTGACTCCCTTCTCCTCAAGCATGGCCTCTCCTCTGCTTACCCCCTCCTCTCTGACAACCTGAGGCATGGTTTTCCCCTTGGATGCATGCCTGCTTTGGCCGAAACTGTCATTCTCCCTAATAATCCTTCCACCTACCCTTACTTGCAGGATATACAAGACTACCTGCAAAAGGAACTCCTTGCTGGTAGGATGTCAGGCCCCTTCTCTCGTGAGGAGGCGGAACTCATCCTCCGTGGCCCTTTCTTTTCCTCTCCTTTTGTTGTGGACGTCCAGCCCCAGCAATCTGGCACGCCTGACAAGATTAGGATCTGCAGGCATTTGTCCAAGGCCTCAAAGTCATACCCTTCAGTCAACTCGCATATCCAGAAAGAAGATTTCCCGACGCGTTTTGATTTGGCCTCAAAGGTGGCTGAAATCGTGAGTTTTTCCTCCTTCAGTTTCTTCCCACATTTTCTCTATGCCCCTTTACACACCCCTTTGTGTTTTGTGCGTGGGGTGTCTTCTTCTTTGCTGCTGCATGCGGCTTTGAGATTTTTGCATTCTCAATGTGTTATCTCAGACTTCTGTCCATGTTTTTCTTGCGCATCTTGCGCCTTTTTATGCAGCCGAGCGTATCATGCGTCCGCCTCGCACTTCTTGGACTCTTGTCCTTTTGGCGCTTCTTTGCCTCCTACTATGTGTGCCTCATTGCACCTTTCCTGCTCTGCTTCTGCTTCGTTTCCCTTTTCTGGACTCTTTCTCACTTGCGTTACTGTAGATTGCCCTGGCTCCCCCAGGTACTCAGGCTTGTACTTTGGATATTGCTAAATTCCATCGCACTTGCCCTGTCTTGCCTTCTCACAAACCCTGGCTTGTTGTCCAGGGCGTTTCTGGCCAATTTTTCCTCGATCACGCCCACCCTTTTGGTGCTGCATGTGCTAGCAGCAATGCTGGCATGATCGCCAATGCCGTCATTGACATCTGGAGAGCAGAGGGCGTCTTCCCCGTCCCCAAATACGAAGACGATCTCAAAGTCTTTCGTGTTCCCTCTGAGACGGGTTCTTTCCATGACGGTGAATTCTCCTATGACTATGACCGTTCAGAAATGCTGCGTCGCATTCACCCTTTAGGTGTCCCTTGGCATGAGGAAAAAGGGGATGACCACTTCCTCTTCGTTACTACCTTCATTGGGTTCCTTTGGGACATCCCCGAAAAGCGTGTCAGCCTGCCTGAGGAGAAGCGGCTGAAGTTCCACGAACGCGTCCGTCGTTTCCTCAACGACTTCCACAGTTGTGCTTGCCATCTCCTCGATGTCAAAAAGATCCATGGCTCCCTTTGCCACGTTGCATTCGTGTACATGGACGGCCGCTCCCGCTTACCCTCCCTCTCCAATTTCGCGTCTTCCTTCCACAATGACGAACTTATAACAAGGCATCCTCCCCACTCTATGATGACAGACCTCTCCTGGTGGCTCCAGACACTTGAGGTAGGGGGTGTCTCTCGTGTTTTGTGTGCCCGGGGTCCTCTTCAAGATCTGGGCTTGTATGTTGATGTTTCCACATCCTGGGGCATTGGCATTATCATTGGAGATCATTGGGCTTCTTTCCAACTTTCTCCTACCTGGAAAGTCCCTGGCAGGGACATTTGCTGGCTCGAGACTCTTGCAATCGAGCTTCTGACTTACTTCCTGGAACAGATGGGTTTGCAACATTACCGATTACTTATCCACTCTGACAACCAGGGCACTATTGGTGCGTTGGAGAAGGGGCGTAGCCCTAACTCCCATATCAACCTCTCTCTCCGTCGTACTTACCTCGTCCTCTCCGACCTCTCTATATCTCCAGAAATTGTCTATATTGAATCTATTGCCAATCCAGCTGACCCCATCTCGCGCGGAGAACCAGGGGTGGCTGGAAAGCAGATCTTCCCGTCTTTTAAGCTCCCTGAGGAGTTATCCCACTGCTTTCTTCATGTTTAGTCTCAACCGCAAACTCACTTCGTCGACCAGTGTCGTCGAGAGGTCCGTGGGTGAGAAGAAATCTCACAACTCTTTCTCACCGCACCCCACGCGTCCTCGAAATTCTTTCCATCCTTTCCAGCGTCCTTCTTCCCCTGTTGCTATCTCTGACTCCCTTTCTTTTCACCAACATCCCAACCCTACCTTCACACCCTGCTGTGAACCGGATCTGTCCAACACCTCCCATCCCCTTCACGCGTCACGTGCGCTCGTAAACCCCAAGTGGGTCGAACCATTGCTAACAACGAACTTTGCCCCCACGTCCTTGCAGCTGACCGCATTTTTTCTTGGCGTACACCTTTTGGTTCCCGTCATCAACGCGATATCGCACACAGGTTTCCCCCCCCTCTCATTGAATCTGCTATGATGGCTGTTCGAGGAGCGTTGGCTCCAAACACAAAATCAACATATGCCACAGGCCCGCTCCGCTTCACCCAGTTTTGTGACAAGTGGGGTATCTCAGAGGAGGCTCGCATGCCTGCCGACTACGTCTTACTATGTGCCTTCATTGGGGAATACAAAGGCCTCTATTCCGGCAATACCATCCGTTCGTGGTTGGCTGGCCTGCGCAGCTGGCATATTATGAACCATGCCCCGTGGCATGGCGACGACGGCTGGGTGCATTTGGCCCGCATCTCGGCTAACAAAGAAGGCACGAAACACAAGCGTGCCCTTCGTGCTCCTGTCTCCATTGAGCACCTTTCGTGTTTACGCCGTGCTCTGGATCTTTCCAACCCCTTCCATGCCGCTGTCGGGGAAACTACCCTCACTACTGCTGGGGCACTCGACCCCAAATATCATGTACTTCGTTCTACGAAAATCTTATTTCGTGTTCAACGTGATGGCGCTCGCTCTGCGAGCTTTGACATCCCATGTACTAAAACAACAAAAGAACTGGGCGCCACCGTCATCCTCACTGCCCGCCATGTCGGCGATCCCTTGTGCCCTGTTTCTGCCCTCAAGAATCACCTTGATGTCAACTCCTCTGTCCCATCCTCCTTGACCCTTTTTGCTTACACATCATCGTCGGGCAAACCCAAAAATCTGCTCAAGCACGAATTCCTGAACTTCGTCACCAAAATTTGGTCTTCCGCCATGCTCGCCCATGTCCTGGGACACAGCTTCCGTATCGGCGGGGCTGTTGAGCTCTTGCTGGCGGGTGTGCCTCCTGAAATCGTCGCCGCTACCGGGGGTTGGACCTCCCTCGCGTTTTTGCTCTACTGGCGCCGTATGGACGAAATCTTGCCCATGTCCACCTCAAAAGCTTACAACAAAGCACATCTTGATCTCCTTGCTTCTATTTTTGAAGAATTTCGTATCTCTCACAAAATCCCTTCCTCTTTACTTGATAGCGCCACCCTTTGACTCAGTGCCCATGTAACTTTAGCATATTCTGTATCTTACTCCCACCCATCTGTGCAATTGATTGTTTGACTTAACCCCTACTATCTATCTTCAAAACTCTTGTATCTTAAATTCTAGAACAGACCCCTGGTCCGAGTGACGCTCAATTGGGATGACCGTCTGGCTCATCCTTGCCTCGCCAACCCGCCGTCATGAGCTTACACTCGGGTTGGTACAGCCAGTTGGGCTTGGCAAGCACAATTGAGCCTTTTTTTTGGACGCTCAGACCTTGTTTGCGCTCCTTGAGTTCGGACAGGGTCTATGCACAACCAAGTTATTTGTATTGACAAATTTCTTGGTCACCTTCTCTCTGCACACTACGCAACAGTTATCTTATTGTGTGTGTCAAGTTGTTCAGTTCATCTATCACGTGTGTTGGTTCTGTTAGCCAACTGTTGATTGGGAAGAAAAAATTCAGAGAGCCTTGATGCAACTGGAAAGCAAGATCGCGTGAATTAAAAGATATAAGTATTCCAATCATAATAAGACGTTATCGTTTCGTGAACCTCAGGAATCAAGCCAGCCTGCCTGAACCATTTCAGCAGCCAATCCAGCCCAGTTCCGTCGCCTAGCTTTCCGACCAGCCAACTCCGTCGCAAATCTAAATCGTCCATCAGCAATGTTGAGTACTGCAGTGAAGCAACGAACCGTAAACATTCATCTAACCGCCATCGACCACGTTCAGACTCTGACGAAGTTCCTGGGTCTTCCCCGGACCAAGAAGGGGTATAAGGAGACCCAGGACATATCCTCCTACTAAGCGCAAAAATCATTCCCGCAATAAACGCGTCCTGCGACCCAACCTCATCAACAACTTCATTATCCAGATCATTATCCCCTCCAGGCGTCTCAGTCCCCTGTGAGTCGTTGTCATCGTCTTCCGTGGTATACTGACCACTCGAATTATGCCCTTGCCCCCCACGCGAATGCGCCGGAGCCCTCCGATACGATTTATCAGAGTGCCCAATCCCACTGTCGTTCCCACCGTCTGACAAATAGTGGCTGTCCCCCGCTGTGAAAGCGCTGGACGACGGTGTCCGACTTCGTGGTCCCCCAGCCCAGAAATCGCTACCACTCCTTACGGATCGTAGTTCTGTGACGGTTCCAGAGGGTTGATTTCGGTGTTGTTGAGTACCAGTAGCACCATTAATCTTCAGCGGCTTCTCTTCAACCCAACCAGAGCTTTGGAAGTACTCTTTCGTTGGCAGAGATAAGACAGCTGAACCCTCAGAACCCCAATGGGCGACAAGAAGGGCATGAGGAGGCGCGATGGAGACCAGGGAGAGCAGAAACGCTCTTGGCGTCGTGGCGTAATGGGGAGAGTGAGCCTGAGCATAGTGCTTATTCAGAAAAAGCACGTCCGCATGGGGTATTAGCTATGTATGCACGTGGATCAGCTCTCCCTCTGTTCAAAGTATAATTCAAAGCAAAGATTCACACCGCTTCGACGCCTTGTCTTCCTTTGCGACCCACATCGACGCTAAAAACACAATGGCTTCGCCACTTGCGTTCTCGCGCTAACCCATCCAAGCCAGTCATATTACTTAACGTGGTTTTCACTGACCGACCTTCGAAGTGGAGCCAGTCGAACGGAGCTGGGCTTTTTGGATTAAAGAGGATTGGAGGACGCGGTCCAGATTGAGATGCTCGAGGTGTTGAACCTGAAGGAGGGGTTGAAGGATAGCTTGGTATATTCGGGCTATTTGTTGGTTCTATTGGTGGATAGTTTTCTGGAGCGAGAAGCGGCCCCAGCAGAGACACAAAATCCTCGTGCGTGATATCTGGTAGAGGGTTGTGGTTCACGACCGTCCTTGTATCACCCTCCGCTTTCCGTGCGTTCAATAAGGATGTAATTCAAGGATTCAATGTCACGCAACATACCAGAATGCAGTACCCAAGCGCTCGGGACCCCAGCATTGTCCCAAATCTTGCAGTACCGCGTCATTACGCCTTCATTTTCCAAATCCTTCAGAACCATTTTTCCTTCATCATTTCCGCCTAATGGTGCGACTAGGACAGCCTCGACATTCGGAAATTGGGCCAGGAGCGAGAGTACCTTTTGCAAACGGAAGGTTCAACGACGACAAAGCGGTTGTGCCCAAGAAAGACCTACAGTATTCGCGGAGCCACCTCGGGTCTTTTGCACAGAATGTGCTCGAACTACAGTTGAAGGCGTAGGGTGACATGGGACGGAGAGGGTGTGTGTCAGAAACAAGGTGCCCGAGGCCACGACACGAAGAGACCTGGAATTGTTAGGCGGAGGGAAATATTGGTCTGCATGGGTGTCGCGTCGTAATTTAGCCATGTCCGGGGTATGGGTATCGTGGACGACGTTGTGTTGAAAAATGGAAAAACAAAAACAACTCATCCAGGAATAGGCGCCCATGAATTTGATGCGCCCTTGCCAAGCTTTCAAAATTACTACAACTATATACTTTTGACAGATTATGACAATGTCTATTCCATCTCTACATCACCATCCTCATCCTCACTTCCATCTATACTCTCCCATTCGCCTCCTTCCTCATCATTTCCGTCTTCCAATGGCGAGGAAGCAATACCTAGAGCGTCCAACTTCGTTATTAGTTCTTTGACATGCTCCAGCAATGGTTGGTCGGGATGCTCTTGGTTTCGGTGCAGCTTCAAAACATGTAAGTATCACGTCGTGTCGAAAAAAAAATCACTCACCACTTGACAGGTTTCCAGACAGTCTCGTGAGTCTTTCGCAAGCTCTTGCCATGTCAGTTCGTCCAACGTTCCTCCACTCTCTTGTGCTTGTTCTGACATGAGGAAGAAACACCAACCTTCAAGGTACCATGCCTCAACGTCTTGGTCGTCAGAGGACATGATTCCATGAAGAACGAGCAATGCAGGGGTATATAGCGCCAACTCGAGGAAGAGTCGAACGAGAGCCAGGCGGTTTGGTATCGGTGGCAGCTTTGGATCGTCTACACCATATTTGATAAGGTACTTAGAACAGTAACCTGGCGACCTACCTGCTTCAAGGTCCTTCCACGCCGTCCATGCTTGTTCAAGACATTGCTTGGCATCATCAGGCCGCTGTTGTGACATTCGTACCGATGCAAGTGCTTGAAGTGCTTCTGGGTTATTAGGATCTGTCTGCAGAGCAAACGTTAGGAGATCCTCGCAAGTCTTCTCTGCTTCAGGTTCAAAGCTGAGCCAAAATCAGACGCTGTCTGGGGCATTAAAAAATCTGGACGCGTACCAAAGATCGTAAGATGGGTCCATCCAAATCTCGACTTGACCGACAAGGGCTCTGACAATATTGCTCTTGATTTCAACTTCGTCGTTCCTGCCAGCATCATCCAACGCACGATCCTTTCCTTTGAGTTGTCCCATAAGAATAGTAACGGCCGCTCCGTAATGCTGCAACGCTGATCGAGGATCGTCATCGCTCAACTGCGCTAAATACAGATGCGCCGAAGGGGGAGGCACCGACTTGGGATCGGGGGACAATAATGATTGGAACGCCTGCATTGATAAAATCGTCAAATCCAGGCACGCAATTGAGAGAACATATACACACCTCTTTCGCAGCTTCAACCTCCCCCGTTTCTAGTAATGCTACACCGAGCATCTCTTTCGCCTCTGCATTGCTAGGTGCTTGCTCCAGGATGCGATGTATAAAACGCAGGGCAAGGTCGTAGTCACATTGCACAATCAATGACTGTGCCTTTTCAATCAAAGACGTTATTGAAGGCGCGTTTGAGGGCGTCGCATGTTGGGTCGGTGGATCTGTAGCTTTTGAGTGCGCTTTTTTCTTTGGTTTCGTGCGTCCCATGAGAGCGAAGATTGAGAAAAATCTAGTCACGTGTCCGAGTCTTTGCAGTTTCTCAACAACAACCATCGTTTTGTGCTTTCAACTACTTTTGACCACAGTTAAGCCATGTTCGAATTTGAGGCGCACGACCAGCAATCGAGGGATGGCTTGTTTTTGGAGCGCTTAAACACATTTATGGACAAATGCCTTGCAGACATTAGGGCCTTTGCTGATCGAGAGTTGCGTCCGTATGAAGAGGTCTAAATTGAGACCGTTGCTGGTAAAATGCCCTTTCTAACGGCTCTCATCAGACAAGACGATCCATTGCAGAATGGCACGCTAAATATCTCTTCCAGCCCCAACTTTCAGCCTCGTCAACGTTGCCCGACAAGTGTACAAGAGGTATTACCATCGCCTCTTTCACCGTTTTTTTACGCTAATGTTCATCTTAGTACGTTCCATCCTCTGCGACGCGTCTCTTATTCTGGAATCGTTAGCCGAAACGTCTGGAGTGCAATCGTTTCTTCTCGCTGTAGACCCTCACGACCCTGCAGACGCCGGCTTCCTTGGTGGATCAGTTTCTGGTCGCGAGTTTTGGAGGGGTTTAAGAGGGGGAGGCGAGAGCGGCGCAAAGTCATTCAAGCTCTATTGTCAGAGCCACACTACTTTCAACTCTGGAGATACGCAAGATCAATACCCTCCGCCTCCGCCTCTTCCTCAAGCCTCAACTTCGAAAGCGCCCCCCGCTCGATCGCTCAAAGCAGAACTATACGATCATGTGCGGAAAGCGCTCAGGTAGATAACTTGCCTCGCTACGAATATCAAACTTGAATGCTTTACAGGACAGCTAGCGGTATACGGAACGCAGAGATGAAGTGGACAAACCACGAAAGGCTAGACGTCTATGGCGTTCGCTTGGCTGGGTGGCCAACCAGCGTCCCCGTTCAAAATCCCTCGACATTAAAAGTAACACAGAACAAGCTGCTCTTGGACGCATTACAGAACGGCACAATGAAATTTGAAAGGATCCTTTCCGTAGTTGGCCCTTCTCAATCACATGAGGGCATTACGACACTACCAGAAGCAGATGACAACGAGGACTTTTCCTGGGCATATGATGCAGATGCCGACGCGCCGTCGAATTGTTCTGTGGTATGTTTGGTGCACACGAGGCGTTTTACGTGACTAATGGTTTACCCTAGACGGAGAATGAGAACAGTGTTTGGCCTGTGAATGAAAGCGTGTATGAGTCCCAAGTGAATCTGAGTAGTACTTGGCAAAGCGAATACGTTGAGCGTCCCAAAAAACGAGCACGGAGCACAGAAGGAGGGACAGACGAGGGTCATGAGGGTATTTCATAGTTTTTGTTGTAATTACATACGTTGGGTTTCATCTAAAGGTGCCGGTGCCGAGAAACCCATCTATGCCAGAATCTCCTTTCAATCATCCCTCCTCTTGCCAACCACCATGTTCTCATCTATATTTTCGTGAGTACCCGTCATTGATGATCATACATAGTCCACAGCTGATAATCATCGACCACCTTAGAACATCAGCTCCAGTCGACCCTAAGGCCCCTAATTTCCACTCAGTGACGACCAACCTATCCGAGGGGTCACTCTTCGGCGAGCTTGAGCCAAAGGACACCGAATGGTTGTGTGGAGGAGGATTCGTCACCGAGACACAGACGTTCTACACGGTGACGGAGGATGGTCAGTTCCTCAACTGCCAAATTATTCATTCATCAGTTGGGTAGGTCCCATCGATCTCCATTCACTCTTTTCATCCGCTCACACCCGTAACCCAGCGTGTGGTTTCCCACTATCCAATTTACTTGCAAATGGCACAATCCCAAGACAGGTAAAACCGTCTGGAAATCACTCAACGTGAACAACTTTGTCACACCCCCACCTGGACACGATAAGCGGTCCTCAAAGGCGGACGAATTCTCCGTCATCTTGAATTCCAAGCCTGGATCAGAGCACCCGGAATCATACACTATCAACGCAAACCTCGGAGTCGACCTCCAAGTCGCCATTGAAGTCTCCCGCCCCGCCAGCGTCCCTGGCTACAAAGTCGGTGCTGGTCCTCAAGGGGGTTACTCATACTTTGGCCATGACCCTGCAAAGGCAGAAGGATATGTCATTCATCGGTTCTGGCCCCGCTTTATCGCCTCTGGTCACATCATCCAGAACGGCATCGCTGAGGCTATCAAGGGCTCCGGAATGTTCGTGCATGCCATCCAAGGCATGCGCCCGAATCTGGTTGCATCCGCGTGGAATTTCAATTTTTTCCAAAGCAATCAGCTCGAAGGCGTTTCGGCCATTCAGATGGAGTTCACTACACTGAATACCCATGGGAAGAAAGGAGCGGGGTCTGGGCCTGTTAAGGTTAACATTGGATCGTTGGTGGTTGGCAATAAGCTCGTCGCTATCTCTGCTGAGACGACGTGGCCAAATGAGACTCCCTCGTCGGGCGTGATCTCACGAACGACGCATCTCAATTCCGTCCACGATGCGGATACGTCATATGCGAAACCATCACAACTCCTGCTGGAATGGAAGGCGCCGTCAGTTATCTCTGATGCAAAAGGGACTGTTGAAGCCAAGCTCGAGGTAGACGTAGGGAGTCTCGAGCACCCCAATGGTTTGCTCGAGAAGGTGGATATCTTGGGCGAAATTCCTTCTGTCATCAAGTTGGCAGTGAGCTACGTTGCTGGAACCAAGCCCTTCATGTACCAGGTACGGAGCTTTTCTTTTCTTTCCCAAACGTCTATCAATGTCTTCCCCAGTGGCTGAACCCGACGAAACTTTCTATCAAAGGGCCTGATGGATTGGCCCCTGGCCTTTCGTCAGGCGTTGAGGTTGACGGCACTCTGTACACGGAAGCGACATTCATCTCATCTTAAAGAAAACATTTCATCTGGATTTTTTTCGATATACTATATACTTAGCGTGTACAACATTCGACAGAGTCATGTTTTTACTGTTTTAAAGAAAGATCGGCATCAGTTGTGCATCAGGGCCGTAGTTGACGGAGCCGCCTCAAACCACTTTGTTTCCAAACTCTCTCTATCATGCCATTTGACAATGTACGATGTTGCGACGACCGTTAATCCGCAGCGCCTCTAGCTCCATTCTTCTACGACCGCTGGGTCCTCGTACACGTCCCTTATCTCTTCTCGCTCGCTCGCAGCCTTGGACATCCAGCGCCAACAAACTTAAATCATTCCAATTACGTCCAAGAATACGGAGCGATGCTGTACTATCAATATTTTCCTTGTCGGCGCCCGCAAAACGACCATTTCATTGCACTACCAGAGTAGAGGCCTTGCCGCTCATCCCATTGCTAGCCTCAATGCTCAAGGTACGCACCGCTCACTCCATACATGAGTTTCGTGGTTATTTATCTTTTGATAGGCATCAACCGCCTTCGGGTTTACGCAGATGGCTAGTCGCATCGCACTCACATTTCTTCCCATATTATGGTTAGGAAACCGTAAATCTCATCGAGTGATAAAGTATGCCGCAATTCATGGTATCCCGACGTCTCCGGAGAAAAAGGAGAAACACCTCAAAAGGATACGAATCAGCAACAAGCTCCTCCAAATTCTTCTTTTTATCCCTTTCACACTCTTCTGGGCAACCATTGTGGCGAGTTTAGAGAGGACACCGCTCACTGGGAGGTCTGTTTCGAACCCTATTCATATTTTCCTTCATTTGTCTGACAAACATAATAGATGGCGGATGATCCTGCTTTCACCTGAAGAAGAGGACGAAATGGCGGCTCAGCTGGCTGGGACAGGCTGGTACGCCGCTGTCGGAGAGATACTCGCACAAGACGGGCCTCCAGTAGTCATCCCGCCAAGTGACTGGCGCTACGCCTGGGTCAACGACACCCTCCGCAAGCTGGAAGCCACCATACCCGTCCTTTCACATGAACCAGAAATATCTCTGGACGTCGGTCCAGACGAGAAGCCACTCCCTCCACCAGCGAAATTCCCCCTCCGGCCACGGCCAAGGGCTTCAGAGTATCTGCGTTGGCTCTGCGACAAAATGTGTCAAAAAAACAAAGACCCAATACCTAATTCCGTTCATACCATCGCAGGTCCACCCTACTCCCTCCTCCTCATTGAAAATCCCGGAGCATCAAACGCATTCTCGTACGGTTTCGGACCAGACGGAGGTGGCGGGATTGTGGTGTACTCTGGCTTCTTGGATGAGATATTTGAAAAGATGCCACTGGAGTATACCACCCCACCACCGAAATCTTGGTGGGCGAATCTATTTCTGGGAAGGTCCGCTGATCAACGGCAGCCTTCACCCACGTCAGAACAGACGACCGAGTTGGCCATCTTGCTTGCGCATGAATTGTCGCATCTTGTTCTGTCCCATCACTTGGAAACGCTCTCGTCCGCAACTGTCATTGTTCCGGGTACATTATCGATCGCGGCCGACGTCATTAGAGTATTTATCTTCCCCATCACGATGATGTTCGGCCCCTTTGTCAATGACGCCGTGGCACAGCTTGGTAAGGTTGGGTCTGGGGAGTTAGTCAAGGTGGGCGAATACTGCACAAGTGTAAAGCAGGAAATAGAGGCCGACGTCGTCTCGGCAAGGTAAGCGACCCGTTTTAAAGTTATTATTATTTCACTCTCTGAATGATGCGTCCTCCTTAGACTCCTTGCTCACGCTGGTTTTGATGCTCGGGATGCCGTAAAGTTCTGGACGAGCCGGTCAAGTCAAGAAATTCAAGAATGTGCAAACGCCAACCGTGTTGACACATCTGTTAGTCGTTCGATGACGCTGGGAAGGCGCATCATGGGCGCTGGGCATCCTGTCAACGAAGTCCGTGTTGAGAGCCTCAAAGGGGAGCTTGCACGATGGGAAACTGAAAGATTAGAAGCCAGAGTCAAAGCTGGATTGACGCCCGCTGCTTAGAAGTTGGTCTCCTTATACATCGCTTATATATTCGCCACTCCTTGTTTTTGTCGGACTATCATCTCATCATAGCATTTATGTAACAGTATTGGGTAAGTACATTTCAGGGCTAGTCTATCATATTCTACTTTGCAATAGATGTACATATGTATCCAGGCTTGTATATCAATCAGTTCAAGGTCATCTACCGAGCAGAGGTTCATGCTCATTCTCTGCCGTGTGCCTGTAACGACGGACAAGTCGTGTATTTCGCGCTCCATCTGCCAGTTCATCTATTTCCTCAACGATCTCATACCCTCCAAGCTGGGGTAATACCTTGATCCAGATCCAGTAGTAGAGACCGCAACACTGACAGACGAGAAAATAAGTCTTGAGGGACTCAGCCAAGAGGAATACCGACCAGCAGTAGACCGATACCAGCCACGCAATAACTGCAGTGGGCGTCAACACCTTCCTCAACACGTACAGAACTATCGACTTACGTGGCATACCAAAAGGACACGTCTGCATGGCCAGGCTCTGGTGGGACCCTGCGCAGCGAGGTCAGAGTGTGGGATGTGGATGAAACAAATGAAATAGACGTACCACGGTAAAACGAGAAGAAGTATGCATGAAATCAGGTAGGCGATGATGGCCCCATTCCAGGCTTGTAGAGGTGAAGGCGGTACATTGGCGATAGCTCGTCTGTGGCGCAAAAGCCAGACGCCAGCTGACATCGCAGCCTGGAATACCTTGGCAAAGCGATGCGATAAGTATGAGTGGCGAAGGTCTTAGATGAGGAAGGTCGCTTACGAGGTGGGGATACGAAGCCAAGTCCAAGGCAAAGTTAAAGGCATCTTTGGCTGGCACAAGAAGGATTACTATCACAGTCAAACCGCCTTTGAGAGCAACTGGCCCGAAGGGCGTCCCGAACGGCTTGGTTGACGAGAAAAAGCTCGGAAAGGGAAGCAATCCTTGTCTGGCAACCTCACGGATAATTCGAGCCTTCAATGTGCTCCATGGAAAAACTTTCGTACTATACAGAAAATTTTTCATACCTGTCCAACGGTCTTTAAATGCGCATTTGTTAATCGCTTTGAACCGAAGATAAATACGGAGGGCTTACCACTGCGATCTAAGCAATGATAAGCAAGGGAGACTTTCAAGGGCGACAAAGGAACTCCTCACAATATTTCCAAAACAACTACACGCAACCATAAGCGGAAAGACTTTGGAGCCAAAAGTCGCGCCAAAAACACGGCGGAAAAAGAGAGCTGCGATTAATTGGCCTGACTGCCGAATATCCTCCCTAGGTACTGCAGCAATATATGCTACATTGATGAAAAAGAACAGGACAGTCGCTACCATTAAGGAGATAAAGCTTGCTTTCCGCACGGTTCTGACAGGGTCGCGACTTCTAACTTCGCCAAGGACGTTGAAAGCGTTTTGCCAGCCAATGAAGGAGTGATTGGTCTTGACCTTGATAGATAAATATCAGGCTCGACTCTCAAAAGTTAACAGCGATTGTACCAAAGCGGTTGCCAAGGCGTTTGCATTGGTCGAGGTTCCACTGAACAGGTCCTGAAAGTTCGCAAAAGGGTCTCGAACCCGAGTGAGACTGCAAAGGACAGCAATACCGGTAGCGACGATACTGTGGGTTGGTTAGATGGAAGCCTCGAGGAGAAGAAACGACCCACAAAGCCAACGATGCGACTTTGATGGTTGTGAGGGCATTCACAGCTCGCAGGGACCATTTGGTCGAAAGTGCCACGCCTGTGGAAATATTCCGTTGACTGTTTCCAAAAGATCCCTCTTCAATCGCTTACTTCCAACCGTAATGAACACTACGGCCAAAGCCACTGATGTTTGTCGAGATGGCGTTATGGGTACTTCGAAAGCAGTAAGAAAATATTGCGCAAAGACAATGGCGTTTGAGGCGCTGAACCTGTACAGCACACGTCGAAAGGTTGGGATATCACTAACGAGCTACAAAGTACGTACGACAATAAAATTGTGGTGGTTGCAAATGCGGTTGATACCAGGAATCGGGGTCGGGGGTATGTTTGCTCCAGGTAGACGACCTCTGCACCCGATCTATTGGGGAACATGCTAGCCAGTTCACTGTAAAGCGCGAGAGCCGCTAGTATTCCAAGTATTAGAAATTTATTATTGACGGCTCAAGGCAACCGCCTGCAACCGCGCATACCAAAAGCGAAGAGGGGAGCAATGATCCAGTAGAGAAGAAGCATTCCAATTGACCCAACAGAATTCAGAATTACTCCGGGGACTGCATATATACCTGACCTAAACGAATCTGAGCAAGGTGACGGGGTTGTAAGGACATTTAAACCCATACCCCGTAATTTGGCCAAGGTTCAGCATTACAGCGGAGAGCAAAGTAACCTGGCTCCCAAGAGGGTTGACCTATGGGGCTCAATAGGATCACGTTCACGCCCAGTTTCAAATCTTGACCCACTTTCTCAACAGGTGCACCTGGTACGCGTGCATTCTGCTCAAATTCGGCGCGATGGTAAGGCTCGTGGCTTTCAAGTTGCGACTGATCTTCTACCATGTACAAGTCGGACGACGACATCACCAAAGAGTAGACAAAGATGGAGGCTATGGAACTGCTATGGACCCAAATCACAGCCGCCTGCGCCAACGCTAGCTTGCGCACCTCAACCCCTCACCGGACACATCACGTGACATTATCATATCTTATATATTGAGGGGAGAAAATAAACAGAACACAACCTATTTATTGGACATATGAAAAAAATGGCTTCACGGTTATCCTGATTTGGCTCGAACTTTCATAAATAATGGCAGCAAACTTATCAGAAACTAACCCACTTGGCATTGAAAAAATGATTGTCGGAACGCAGGTTACGGACTTTTTGAGCCATAAAACCAAATGCAAAAAATAATCTTACTACGGGAGTCGAACCACACACCTTGAGCAATTGCAGTTCCCACAATACAGAGCTCGACCACCTAGGCCATAAGGACATGTATACATATTTGAGCTGATAGCGATATAATGCCTAAGATCGTGAATGTAACTGTAGTATATTCTCTCTCTAGATGACTATGTGTACACAAAAAAAAAGAAAATTCTGCCTAAATTACATTTTTATTTATTGGAATACCGTAATATTATGCCAACCATGATCATATCGTGGTCTGAGCGAGACGGAGTACTAAAAAGATGGCGTTCAAGGATCGAAGTGGTAAGTCACGTGATATGTCTGGGGAGGGGTTGAGGGCGCAAGCTGCCAACACTTGTCCTGCGAATCACACTTTTCGCAGGGCGTCCCACGCCAAATCACAGTTTTTCGCAGGACAAGTCACAAAACGGACCTGCCAAATCACAGTTTGGATCACACTTTTTGGCGGGTGGGAGAGTCGACTTGTTCTGGAATCTGACGCTGTTTACGTGTGGCACAAGCTATTTCCAGCATCAAGGTTTGACAAGTCCATCCTGGAAGACCTACAAAAAACGGATTTACTCCATGAGTTCTGGCTCAAATCTTATGATCTTGAGCTTTACTTGACACTGAATACTACAAGAAGTGCCCCCCGAGTCTACGAAATGGAATGCCTATCTGTTCAATTTTGGCATTCGGTTTTGTGGTGAAAGGATGCCCATACATAAGCGGAAATTGAGCTAGAAAGGTAAATTCTTACTCGTATTTAACACCCTTGGGCTTTACTTGACCGGAATTGCTTCAGGAACCACCTCTCAAGTTTTGGGAATATGGCACCCAACCGTTCAAAGTCGGCGTGCGGTTCTGTGGGAAATAAGGTCTATTGCCAGAAATTGAGGCTCACAGGTAAGTTCTTACTCGATTTTTACGTTCTTGAATTCTACTTGACAGAAATTACTATAGGAAGAGCCTCCTGAGTTCTCGAAACATAGCGCCTAACCGTTCAAAGTCGGTGTTTGGTTTTGCGGCGAAATAAGGTCTATTATCAGAAATTGGGGCTTACAGGTAAGTTCTCACTCAATTTCTACGTTCTTAGACTCTAATTGACCGAAACTGCTTCAGGAATAACCTCCCGAGTTTTCAAAATATAACGCCTAACCGTTTAAAGTCGGTGTTTGGTTCTGCAGAGCATCAAGGTCTCTTACCCCAGAAATTGAGGTTCACAGGTAAGTCCTTACTTGATTTTTATGTTCTTGAGCTCTACCTGACCTAAATTTCTTTAGGAACAACCTCCCGAGTTTGCGAAACATATCGCCTCATCATTCAAAGTCGGTGTTCGGTTCTGCAGAGCAATAAGGTCTCTTACCAGAAATTGAGGCTCGCAAGTAAGTTCTTGCTCGATTTTTACGTTCTTAGGCTCTACTTGATGGGAATTGCCTCAGAAACAACCTCCCGAGTTTGCGAAACCTGGCGCCCAACCGTTCAATTTCAGTGTTTGGTTCTGTAGAGAGATAAGGTCCTTTACCAGAAATTGTGGTTAACATGTAAGTTCTTGCTCGATTTCTACGTTCTCGGGCTCTATTTAACAGAAATTGCTTCAGGAGCAACCTCCCGGGAGACTCGACTTGTCCTGAAATCTCACCCCCACCCAACACTTGTTCTTGACCCTGAGTGTTTTCGTGCTCATAGCCTTTCCGCTGCGGCTGCTCATAGCTCCCCCTCCCTTTGACCTTGTAAATAAATTAAGTTGTATGTTGGTAGCATGCAAATTTTATTTTCTCTGAATTTCCGTTCCTGTCTTTGTATTTTGGATGGCTTTTTTTGTGCGTGTGTTGAACATGGCCATTCTTCTCAGCATTTGAATGTCATAGTCAACTTGAGTAACGGCGCATGTTCATCATTTCCGAATTTCTATGATGGTACTTATGTTCACGAATTTATTGGCATTTGCCATTGCAACGGTGCAACTTGAACCTATATAAAATGGGTGTCCGTGACCACGCCTCCTCCCCCCAACGCTTCAACCGCTACGGCCACCCCCTCTCATATATCTTACAACTCGCATGTGTAACATAGAAAAACCCTTTTTTTTTTTTCTCGGCTGCGCCGCTCCCTGGTGCTTTGAGTTTGCTTTGAAATGTTGCATACAAGAGGGAAGAGAGCGTCAGGGTGGAAATGCATGTGGGCCATCGTCGGCTTCATCGGAAAGAAGGTGGAGAAGCAGGGAAGATGTTCGGGAAAGACCAAATACAAGAGAAGAGGAGAGGGATGGAAAGACTTGGTGCAAGGGAAGTCATTGTTGATGTCGACATGTTGGCGTGTTGACGGTCTTCCATGGTCAATACCGAAACACCTCACTTCACCCACTTCCCAGCCCGCCCATTCTCACTGCCCACGCGCTCTCCTTATCACCATTGAGAGATAACCCCCTCATCCTCCCAAGCACGCTCTTCTGTCCTATGCCCCCATTCCCACCACGTTCACCCCGCGCTAACCACTACTTTCCTCCCTCTGCCCCCTCCCTCCTCTTGCCTTCCCACCACGCTTCCGATGCGGAACGGCCAAGAACCCATCTTCGTCCACCATTGTCGGCTAAGCTTCCGCTGCCATTGCTGTCCCGCCGCTTCCGTTGTTGGAGGTGGTGTCACCCCATGCACCGATCGTGGTATTGCCGCTGCGGCCGCCTACGACATATTCTCCATCCCCATTCTGGAATGAGGTTTGATTGTTGAGTGGGTTGCCGGTTAGAGGTAATTTGGAGAAGGTGGCGGCCCTTGCTTATAGAAAGAGAAAGGGTCAGCTTCCATGCGAAACAAAACGATAAAAGCGAAAGGCAGACTTACCTGGGTTTCGGCAGTCACGCCTCTCAGGCTGCTCAACGAGCTCACCCCTCTTTCCACCGATCTTGAGTTTCTGCTCACGGCCTTGATTCTTTAGAGCAGAAACATACAAAGAGTATCTGTGAAAAGTAAAGAAGTTAAAGAAGAGAAGAATCAGTACCCGAATGGTAGAATCATCGTAGTGCTTACTAGAGTTTTTTGTGTGTTCTTCTCGCTTGGAACCTGGCCTGATCAGAATGAGATGTAAGCCCTCATTAAACAATGTGACAGGGTACAATGAAGCTTCCTACCTTGACCTTTCGAGGTTATGGCCAGTCCACTGACAGGCTATCTCAACGGCAAAAGTGGGGCTGGGAAGAAAGAATGATGGTGGAACACGTTCAAAGAGCACTGATGCCCCTTGAACCGCTGTGGCGACGTAGAGACGCCGACTTTTGACGGGCAGACTCCGTAAAAGCGTTGGATCGATACTGAAGTCGTCCGTCTGTTGAGGGGTGTCGTTGTCTGGCAAGCGGTACGAGGTTGGAACGAGGGCGCGCTCATGAGAATACTAATATATTAATTTATTGACTTATCTACTATGCTAAGTCAGCGCGAAGACTTGGCCTGGTGTTATTTTAGAGGGACATGACGTGACCTTGCTTTAAAAACCAAGTGACGTCATGCTGTCACCTTTCTGGATGCAATTTGAGAATGGTTCATTGATGGAATTGATACTGAAGTGCATTGATGGTGTAGCAGGATTAACCTGACAATACTGTGAACTAGCTCCGGGTTCGACTCCCGGTTAATGCATATGAGGTCACTAGCCTTACCGTATCATTTTTTCAAAGAGATTTACAAACTTCATCGCACAACCATTCCAGCAATAAGCCTATAATAAAACAATACTTATATGTGCTCCTTTCTCTAGATCCGTTGTATGTGATCCTGTGCATATTATCGCTTTGTCAGTGAAGGAGTAGGGAATACAGTGGAATTTCTTTTTGGTCAAATTTGAGTGTACCCATGTCATACTACCTTACAACTTTGTACCTAAGACCCCATACACAACTCCCGATGACAATCCCTTGCGCTGGAGAGGGCACGCCCGTGCGATCATCCCCCCACACAGCCCGGCACTTAGGGAATACAACACATTAACAATCGTTTCGGCTGGCACTCGAAAACATGGAAAGTCATGTCCTTCACGCAGACTGCCCGGTTCCCGCTATAACTCTTCCTTGGTCGTCAACGCCAGGAACGGAGGCGAATTGCTAGATGTACGATCTAGTCAAACCACGGCCACAGTGCACTCAAACACGAAACTCACGCTCTTGATACCGAATACCAAATTAAATGCATCGGCTTGAGCACCAGTCTTCGCTGCAGCAGCAGTCGCAGCAGTCTGCGCTTTCGCACAGATGTCCTTGGCAGATTGGTTGGCCTTGCACGAGTTGGTCAATGTGTCACAGATGAACTCTAAGGATGAAATCAGCGGGGCAAAATAAACAGAAGCGGTTATACTTATACTGACGTGTAATGATTCCAATATTCTGAGCTGACCCGTGATTGAACGATTCTAAAGACAAGGGTTAATAAGCGTCGTGAAAAGCAGCAAACGGACATACGTTTGTCCGTAGGTTGGAAGCTGGTTTCTTTACGTCCATCGAAACCTACTCCAAATTCAATTTGAGGTACCGTGCAGCTTCCGAAGTCCGCCGGTGCAGCAGCAGTGGGGCTGGCAGCGGGGTTTCCTGTTCCAGCTATTACATTTCCTTGGTCGTCAACAGCAGAAACGTTGGTGAAGTTCTAGACATGGGGGTCAGGCGGACTAACACAGGTCACAAGCTGGATGAGTGACTTACGGTCTTAATCCCAAACACTGCGTTGAAGGCATCAGCTTGGGCGCCGGTCTTTGCAGCAGCAGTGCTCGCAGCAGTTTGCGCTTTCGCACAGATGTCTTTTGCAGGTTGATTGGCTTTGCAAGAATTGGTCAATGTATCACAAATGAACTCTGAGGATGAAATGAGCGGAGCAGACTCAATTGAAGGGGATGATACTGACGTGTGATTATTCCAATATTCTGAGCTGATCCGTGGTTGTATGATTCTTGAGAAGGGTCAACGAAGGTGAGGAATATGGAGAAAAAGGGCGTACGTTTGTCGACGGGTTGGAAGCTCGTCTCTCTCCGTCCATCGAAACCCACGCCGAATTCAATCTGAGGAACAGAGCAGCTTCCGAAGTCGGCTGGAGCAGCAGCAGTGGGGCTTGCAGCGGAGTTTCCTGTTCCAGCAATTATATTGCCTTGATTGTCGACTGCAGCAACGTTGACGAATTGCTGCACACGAGGTCAGGTGAGCCAACAAACGCTTCGGGTGCAGACGTACAGTTTGGACTCCAAACAGTGAGTTGAAGGCGTCGGCTTGAGCGCCAGTCCCAACCGCGGCGGCAGCAGCAGCAGTCTGAGCTGTTTTGCATGTGTCCTTGGCAGCTTGATTGGCTTTGCAAGAGTTGGTCAACGTATCGCATACAAATTCTTAGGGAAAATTCAGCTCGAATTGGAAACAATGCATAGGAAGATAGGGCGGGCGTACGTGTGATGATGCCGATGTTCTGAGCTGATCCATGGTTGAACGAAGCTTAGTCAGAAAGGTCAATAAACTTGCAACATCGTGAAGCAGAGGAAGCAAACTTTTGTTAGTGGGTTGGAAGCTCGTTTCTTTTCGTCCGTCGAAACCCACGCCAAATTCAATTTGGGGGATAGAGCAACTTCCGAAATTGGCTCCAGCGACGGCTGTGGGAGTGGGAGTGGTGACCGAGGAAACGACGACTGTTACTGTTGAGGTAACGGGGACGTCGTTACACGTTAATGTAGGTCTGAGGACAGTTTCAGTTGAGAGCGACATGATTTTTTATTAGAGCGACGCACTGCGCCATGGCGGCACCACCAAATGGCAAGGTGTTGGGCTGAGCACCTTTCTTGACGGTGGCCTGTGTAGCAGGGTCAAAAAAGAGATTCGGGTCGTTGGCGGGATCCTGTGCTTGTACTAAGCCATTGAGCTGTGCATTCTTTGGTGCTTTCTGGCAAAAGACGGAATTCCGTAACGAAGGTGGGTTCGTCGTAAAGTCCTTCAAAGTACTTTCAATTCTAGAAACCGAGTCGTAAGTCAAGAAAGCTATGACTAACCGGAGGGGTGTTTTTCTCCACTTGACGGTACTCGACGGCAATGGCCACCATGTTGGCCTGAGTAGCAGCATCAAATTGCTTGCTTGCGTCTACAATTTTGCATTTGAATTATAGCCGGCAGACCCCCTTGAATAGGAGGAGAAAAAGTACCTATGATCGCGTCCGCCATATCTTGCTGCGTGCACTCCCCCTGCGCAGCCAGCAGAGGTGAAACAGCTTGACCTGCCAAGGTACCGCAAACCTGACCAGGGCACGCGTCTCTGAGTTTCTGAAGGACCGCAGGTTGTTCCTGGCCAAATCGTCGAGGATAAAGATAGACAGGCCGATTGTCCCTTTCTAGCAAAAACTCCCGACCGATAACCTGCGTTGCGAGGATAGCTAGAGCAATGTACCTGAAGCTCGACTTGTTTAACATTCTGCGTAGGTTGCCTGACAAGAAAAGACTGTGAGGCAGCGAGAGAATAAAAATTTGGAAAGACGCCTGGTCGTAAAGAAAGAGGAAAAAAGGACGCTGCCACAACAAAAAAACTTGAGGTTCTCTGAACCAGGGAAACACAAAAAGATGGGTCGGAAGACATGGTGGTCCTCGGGTTCTTATAGGTGCGGTTGCTGTTGGCGGCCCCCGACGTTGCTCTCTCAACAATGAGGGACAAGCGCCACCCTATTGCATCCGTTGATGATATGAGTCCCTAGTAAAGAAGCTTAACGGGATCATAATTCCAAACGGATGTTCCGAAAGCTCGCGTAGAGTTGTTGGGGAGCATGTTGTCATGAGATGACATTGTAATCAGTTGGGTTGTGTGGTGATTTTGAACGATTCAAGCAAAGCATGGCTTTGGCCTGATGTCGATCAACATTCGTTGTCCTAGGTGATAGATCGTTTGAATGATCCCAATCCTGTCGGTTCTTCCAAACAACAATGAGGCAGAAAGATCAACAGAAGTAATTAGTTGGGAGTGGAACAAAGCACTCCCAGACTGCATCGTTGATTGATCGAGATTCTGTTGTCATGAAGTCAACAGTGAAAGCTAATACTATCAGACCAACTTAAAGTGCATAGATACCCAACTCTCATAGGCTGGACCCCTTGTGATTCTCCCTCTCACGGATGAGGAGACGGGCGGACAGAAATCCGGCTCTGATGATTCTGAAAAATAACCGGGTCAGATAAACAAAATAAGCAGATATGTGGGTTTGCGCAAAACGACGCTTGCGCCTTACGCAAGACGACGTACAACAAAGGCAACAGCCTCGACACGTTGGGTAATCTACAATACGTGGAAATCGTTGTGTTTGCCCACCTCTCTCCTTGCCTGATGATAGCCAGCCAGCTAGATCATAGCATTGCGGTGACAGTGGTTTCTCCCAAAAGCTTCAGTTGAAAAAGAGTTAACGAAATTAGCGAGAAAACGCATTCGGTTAAAGGCACGGCCGTCTTGAATTTAGGGCAACGGTATGCATATGTCGGCCGTGTCAGAACTCAGTCAATCGACAAAAGATACTTTTTGCTTGCTTTGCAAATCTATGGCACAACAAATAGTAGCCTAGTGGTGGTGAGCATCGGCATGCTCTTCGCCGTGGAAATCGAGCTTGTATACTTGAAAATAAAAACTTTGAGAAGAAAGACACGTAACGGCGTAATTATACGCTCACCTGAACCGCACTCTGTGCAGCGAGCAATCTTTTCCTTGCGTAACATGAACCAAAGAACATCATGCGAGTCAGCCGGGGACCCGGAGCAACCAACCATGCGTTCGACGTCCTGTATATGTTATAAATGGTTGTTAGGGTTAAATACGTCAACATGACGCACGTAAGAAGGAACGAGAATGGGGTCGGCTTTTGTGCCGATACGGCTAGAGTCTAACGGACTATCGTCGAAGACATCAATGCCCTCCAACTCTCCAAGAAGCTGCAGACGCTCGAGACCGGTGGCCTGTTCCAAATCTGTGGGGACTTCACCAGCCTTTCCTCCCGTACCGTAAAGCTGGGGAGGAGGGGGTCCGGAAGAAACACGGACACTTGTAGAGAAAGCGCGAAGAGCAGAAGACGACGGGTTGAGTGACGCCCGAGCGGCCAGGACGGCGGGACGGGCTGCACGTACAGCGCTTTTGAACATGGCGTGCGTTGAATAAAATCTGGCAAGTTACCAGCAAGTTACTTGGTTGGCCAGGAGGTGATGTCACGGTAAGATTCGGGGTCACAGTGTGACCCGCAGATTTCCGACCAAGGCTACATTGCAAGCCACTACAAAGCTATTACATGGACAGAGCAAGCAATGCAAAAAAAGTAAATAATAAAGCACGACGTTATTGATGAAGGTCCATAGGCCTATTTTCCACGGCTGCGACAGCAACCCGCAGTTTTGCGTTGAGTGCTGTTTGTTTTCGAGCTGCGTCTTCTTCGCCTGTCCGGCGCATCAGTTCTGTAATATAAGTGAGTTAGTGTGAGTAGAAGCGACGAGAGGTGGGAACTGCGGGCGAGGGGCAGGAACAACAAACATCAAGATACACGACGGGTGGATGAGAGTAGGTGAAAGAATAAGGAGGAATAGAAATATGCGAACCTAGACTCTGTTCTCCGATCCACAATCGCAACTGGGCATTGCCAACCCCGTCACCAGGGCCTTTGGGGGTGGGCGTCCCAGATGTACCTTTGCTCGCCTGCGTGGGTCTGGGCTGCGCCCCAAGTCCAGCAGCCAGCTGATCAGCGGTAGCAAGCATCTTCGTTGCATGGTCGGCAGCCGTATGATGGTACTGTGATGCAATGAGCGCAAGGATCAATGCTCTGAGGTGGTTATCTTGCGAATTTGTCGCTAGATGTAAGGCTTGACGAAGGTAGGTCCTGTAAATATTGAGGAATTAGATATAGAAGACTTGGAAAGGGCATTGACCAACTTGGCAGCCAAGAATTCTGTCGATAGACATGCTTTGAAGAGGAAACCCACAGCACCGAGCGTGACCCCTAATCTTGCACATTCCTCTTCCAGCTCATCCGCTATCTGCTTCAGCGCCTCCAGCTCCCGCTCGCCCTCAGATCTACCCATCTTCCCCCGTCTAAGGACCCCAAATCGTACCCAAAATTCACCAGCTCTTGCAGCAACGTTTACCCACCGATCTTCAACCCCGTCATCAGCCGCTGGTGTTGGGGCCCCAGCGTCACGCTTGCGGGAGAGATAGGCTGATACTCGATAGCACTGTACTGCACGTTCGGTTTGCCCCAACGCATGAGCAAGGTGGGCTTGATGGAGCGTGATTCGAGCTGAAAGGAACGAAAAAAGCCCATAGGTACGTGTGTGGGCGATCAACTGAGCTAGAACCTGTAAAACCTGGGGTAAGAGAACGTACAGAAAAGGGGAAGAGACCCTACGCGTTCTGCTTCGCCAAACTCACTTCGCATGATGGCAACGCCTACAACCTCACAGTACAAATCAGCTTTGATCTTCCTAAGCCGCTTTTCTATCTCCTGTGCTTCCGTTTTAGAGGCCCAGACCGGCACTGAGCGAGCTCTGTTATGAGCGAGGGCATGGCGGAGAATATGGTTAGACGCACGAGATATCTCCTCCCTTAGCTCGTTGTCGACGACAAGGAGGCCCTCATTTGCAAACACTTTTCGCTTTGGTTTCCTACCAACAGGGTCACGTTTTGCAATGCTACTAACAAGAAATCCGAGAGTATATATGATTCGTGGATGCGTGGCTTGAATATAGAGGGATTGCGAGTTTGGGAAGGTTATCTGAGTATCAGTCAACAAGAGCAGAACGCATACTTAATTAGAAGCTCACCTCCATGATTCCACTCCGTCCAAACGCGCCCAATGCGTTACCATCAAGCATTTCATGCAACATTTTTGTCCGTGTTTGGGCCTTAGTCACATCACCAGTGTATATATGGAATATGATTCCAAGGAGCAGGACGTGCACTATCAGCACCGTTTCAGCGGAAGATTGCTTCGACAGTGGTGGCACAGTGTCCGTCATGCTGAGCTCTTGTTCTGCGAGGTCCAGCGACTCCAGAACCTTGTCCCATGCTCCATCATGCACCAAAGTCCGCAGACGCAGCACAGAAGCCATCTTGCTAACAGACGGATGTTGATTCCGCACGGCCAGCTTGTGTAGATCTTGGATAGCGCCTAAAGCCTTGAGGGTTGCATTTTTAGGAGACCAGTTGACAGCAGTATTCGTTAGATTCTCGATAAGAGCAAGATGAGCTGAATAGGTGACATGCGGTGGGTCTGAAGGTAGCAGAAACGATGAGAGAAGACGTCGAAGGGTATTTTGGGCAAATTTGATATTTTGTTGGGACTTTGACAATTGAGCCGAGAGAAGGGTGAGGTAGGGCTTATAGAGTCGCAAAGATGGATGCTAGTGAAAAAATGTAACCATGTCTTCTAGGAGTAAAATAGGGGATACCTTTTGGGCAATGAGAAGCTACAAAAAACGCGTTAGATCAATTTATGTCTTGGATCATCAACTACTAACCGCTTTCGTTATTGCCTTCTCTACTTCGCTTTCTATCCCGGGCTCACAGAAGCCAACCTTCGAGCCAATTTCGGCCAATCCCGCCCAGGCTCTACATTCAACATTAAAGTCCAAAGATGGTAACGCAAGACATGCTCTGAAAGCAAAAAGAGACAAGAAGAGTGATCGAGCATGCTGAGGATGCGTTGGTGGGTGGACGAGCAAGGCTGGCAGACCAAGCAAAAGAGCTGCTGGGCTCATACGCGTAGTCGGGGTGTCAATTTCTCTACGACATTCGTCGGTGCGCTGGCGCTTGGTTGGTCGTGGATTCTCATCCACATTCATCATGATGGAGAGGAACAAGATTTCAAGTTATGTGTCACACAGACGCGACGTGATGTGACGGGACGCGTGCAATTACGACTGGCTGAATCAACCACCTCTTCACCACCGAGCCAATTTGGTCGTTGTGTGTCGATGAAGAAATCATATCTCATGGTTAAACTCTGATCTTGTCAAAGATTTGGCCAACTATGAACGCGACTGCGAAAGCTTTCCCCAAATCTCACCCTGTCTGACGATTTCACGCCTCTCATTTTAGAACATCAAGGTACCTTTATTTTCACGTTTCCCCCGCGAATTTATGTTTCGACAGAATGAACATTATTATTGGCGAGGACAACCACTGGCAGTTTTGGCTTTCCGAGGAACAGGCTGAGGTGATGAAGTGGGGCTGAGATAGGTGGTCGACGAAGGGGATGTGAGTAGAATATTGATTCAGATTGAAGAGTTAGTAATAGGATGAGGTTTACGTGCTGAATTATATCTGTGTGCTCAGCAAGGACTCGATCTACTTGTAGTCTTTTCCTTTTAGGGGTCAGCTTCACAACATAGCGGATGCGATTTGGTCGAGGATCAAAGACGTTGGCGGTAATTATGTACTATGTAATAAATCCACTTTAGATACTTGTAATCATCTACATTAAGGAGCGTGGCACGATCGAAAAAGCGGTGTTCAAACAAAGAGAGCCAGGACGGCAGCACCGACCATGCCCGCAATGCCCACTTGTGGGTATTTGGAAGAGGCAGCGCTTTTCGTAGTGGCCGTGGATTTCGTCCCTGTAGAGGTGCTCGTAGAGTTGCCTGACGCGGTAGCAGCAGCAGCACCCGATGAGGTGGCGCCAGTACTAGAAAACAAAACATTCAAATGGGACTCATACAATGAGGGACGGTAAGAGTGCTCACGCCGAGGGAGCAGCGCTGGATTTTCCAACGCAGCTGATGTCAGCTATGAGAAGTTTATGCATCAGTCTATACAATCACATTTGGTTGGGTCGGACTTACATCCAGTCAAAATGGTGAATGTGCCGGATTGACCAACAACACCGTTGGAATCTTTCAAGTTAAGGAAGACGGATGTTCCTGGGAAGGGAAGAGAGTAAGACCATCAACTGTATTTATAGAAAGCGCCGTATGACTGACCAACACCAAGATTGGCGACCCATGTCACGGAGTTGCCGGTTTGCTTGCCAAAGTCGATCAGGGCAGTGGCAGAGGGTTGGTTGGCAGGGAGGATGCTGCAGAGCCATCAATAAGAGAGCATAAAGATACAACTACTGACGTGCCTCTATGATAAAAGAAGTCGTTAGCTCAGTGATGACAACAAGAAGCAGGACGTACCAAGAAGTAAGGGGCTAAAGTTAAACTTTGAGTTAATGTTTTTTACAATGTTGGGTGCGAGAAAGGCTCACAGGTTCCACCTGTCCATGTGAATTGAATAGGTTGGCAAACGACGACGCTGACGCTAACGAGCGACGATATGAGAGACAGCCAATGAAGAAAAAATGGAGGAAGTTACGGAGTGTTGACTGTAACTTGAGCGAGAACGCTGGAGGCCAAGGCCGTAACGAACGCGAGGGGAGCAAGGAAGGACTTCATTGTGGTATGAGGGTAGCAAGCGTCACCGACGAAGAAAAGAGTGTAAGGATGGAGAGAAAGGTTGAGAAACTGTAGCCCTGCAACAACCCTGACAATTTCACCACGTCAGCTGCGGTTGCCATCAAAAATGGTAGCATGCGTCTCCTGGCCGAAAACCCAAGTACCGAGAACTCTACATGAAGGTTACTTACAGACTCAAAACCAGCACATTATATATCGTGGACCTGCGTTGTGGAGATACCGTTCCTCTGCAATTCACGCTTCCACGATTCACAAGCTCGTGCATTACTTAGTTCCACAAATGAAAGCAAAATAAAAGCTCCAAAACCCAAAGAAAATTCAGTCTTGTACTAAGACCATGTGAGGGGGATAGCTGAGCCTAAGAACATTCAGAGATAGTAACGATCCCCTATACCGCACTCGTTAAAAATCTCCAAAATTATGACCGAAAAGCTCACCAATCTGCCCCATCCCAGGCTGCATGATCCACACTTGCCTGCCCTGTCCTTCGGGATTTCCTTCCCCTTTATAACCCTCCAGCCATCCTTCTTGCACTCGATCGTCAACAGCACCGCACAAGACCTTTACCTCTGGAAAGGCACGGCGCAAAACGGAAATTCCACCTCCCCGCGCTACGATAAAAGTGACGAAGACGATGTGGTTTTCTTGTACCCCATGATCCAGAAGTATTCGAATGGCCATAAAAGCAGCTGCGCCAGTCCCGATCTATGGTGAACGTGGATCAGAAAATGAAAAGAAAGGTAGGCAATGGCATTAGACGGACTTGAGCATCAAGCAAGAATACCCACGTATCTTTCGCGAGATGGCGCAAGCGGACATAAGCGGGGAGCATGACTTGCAGTAGCATGGGTTCTCCGGTCTTTGAATCGGATTGGATGAGCAAGGAGCCGACTGGGACGTCATTGATAACTCGTTTAAAGCCACGCTCAAGCGCACCACCCCTTCAAGGACAGGAAACAACCGTTAACGTCGTCCTTTGAGATGAATTAAGTACGCCTTACGATCGCATAATCGTGACCCCGCAAATCAGCTACAGAGAGAGCTAAAAAATCAAGTCCACGAATCTTAGTGAATCGTTGTCATACATCTGCATCAAGTTTCATTCCGTGTGATTCCACGCCCACAGGAGTTACGACGGTCTTCGGAAGATACGGCAAATGTTGCAACGCATTTTCAACAAGAATCGTGGATAATCTATCCACGAAAAAGATGAAGTCCTGCCGGCTGGTTTCTTTGGACCGTAGGATAGTAAATATGCCCTATAAACACTGAGTGATAATGTCAAGCATGTATCTGGAACCAAACCTCGAGCTGTGGCGTTTTGGGAAGGACCGCGAGGTTTAAATCTTCTAGCCTGCTTTCTGGCGAAGATGTGCCGGACTTGGAGCGTAGGTAGAGATGTGGGATGGCCATCCTTTGCCGCATGCAGTTGGATCGCTCTTGTAGCTGTTGGCGGATGTGCGTGCAGATGAGATCGATGGCTACTTCGTTATTCGACCCAGGAACTATCTACAATCATAGGGATGAGGTACAAGGTGATCTTGGCATACGACAACGTACTATGTCAGCATGGCTTGAAGAAGGCCTGACAAAGTTGTCATACGAGGGCTTCACGTATCGAAGGTATCTATATTGAAAGAAAGTGAGAATCAAGTCGCCTTAATAACGAATATATGTATACTGATCAAGAATCCCCTCAACGCTGCGAGCACGCTCCTTTACGTCGCGTTTGATCCGCCGTGCAAGCATTAGGTCAGAGTCGCATTGCACAAAAACCTGGAATTGCATCACATAAATGGCGGGATAAATGATATGAATTCAGCATGCCTTAAGATCATATAATGATCGCAATGCTGAATCATGAAGTGCCATAATCCCTTCCGCTATAGCCCATTAATCACCCCGCATAGAAAGCGACGGGAGGCACATACCAATGATAATAGTTGCGCCATAAAGATATCGTTTCTCTTCCAGTCGTTGATGCTCCGCAAATGAGTATACGGGGATATTAGATTGCTTGCAGGCTTTTAAATCTGCTAAGCACTGTATCCCTATTGTGAGAGACTTATTCAGATTTAAATAAGTGAGATCATACTGCTGCAAACATGGGCATGTCAATCGCCTCTGGATGATCGAAGTCAAGCAGATTGGCGTGTGCCAAAGCAAGCTCCTCTTCGTTATGGAATTTATAGAAACTGTCCTGATGTAGAGCCGTTTGTGAGTAGCGCAAACCAAACATCAATTTGGTCAAGAACCTGGGATAGAATAATAACAGTTGGGATGGACCCCAATTTGTGAACAATCTGCCGTGCAACGTGGGTCTATATCAGGGTGAGCGTTGCACCTTACAGGGCACGCAGCAGCTTGAATATTTGACCTTGCCGCTCGCAGACCCACCTTATTCAAGCACCATTGAACATCCCATAAAGAGCTGAAGAAAGTAAGCTTACCTGCTACCCCGATTACGAACGCATCCGACGTTCTCTGGCCATCCTCTCCGTACCTGACGCATCACTTGGAGGTTAATCGCGATACCAAAGTCGTGGATGGACACAAAGTCCACACAAACGGCCCGAAAGGAGACTCACCAAGGAGGTCGACCATGTGAAACGAGAACTGTATTCTTCCTGGGCTGGAGATACATTAACTCGTCCCGACGAGTAGTTTGGAAATATGGAGGGGTCGACGGTCTCTGCTCCTCAAGTTCATTCTTTATAAACTCGTCGGGCATGAGAGTGCAACGTGGAGATTTACGAGGAATAGTTCGAGTCGGACATGAGAAATATTGCCGTTAAAGGTCTAATCGCTCACATGACCTGTCATGTCGACATGTGGCCTTCGCGTCGGTGATAAAAATACATCGCGTCCGTCCTCTAATCTCGAAGACTTGGATGAATTCTTTATTGCGGTAGGCAATAAAAAGTACAGAAGTAGCCCACCGCGAGGGTCGAACTCGCAGCCTTCAGATTCACCGCCTATTAATTTAAGAGTCTGACGCTCTATCCGATTGAGCTAGGCGGGCGATGTTGCTTATAACGTTACATAGCATTTTCAGCCGAATAGGAGGATGGGCGCGTTTAGTCACAACTGTCACGCACATGCAGTCCCCTAAACTCCTTTCCGTTGCCTTTCCGAGTCTGAGATGTCTCAGGCCGCCACTCCCATCGACTGGACCAAACTTTGGTCCAGTCACCAAAGTTCCCGAAGCATCCAAAAAATTTATCCTCGAACGCTATGGTACCTACTGGTCGGACTCCGAGGGGTCAGTCAAAACACGCCCACTCCCCGCGACCATCGACGACCTTGCAAAGATGTTTCACGAATGCAAATTCTTTGGCTACATGACACCTGAAATTTGCGCGCTCCTTCTCGACATCAGCGAGTTTGGGCTTGCCGAACACCGCCCTACTAATACAATCATTGGTCTTCCAGTAGGCCCGCGCTTCTACATGAAGTTTCTGGAGCAGATTTGGTTCATCCTCTTCGTGCCAAGATACAGGTACGGGATCAGCGGCTACAGCCCAGACATACCATACACTGACGACTGGTTTGAAGAAGCGGGGATTGCGCGTGACAAAGCATTGGCTGAGGACTACGACCCGAAGCTCTGTAAGGAGGTCAGTCGGATTGGAACGGCTGGGGTAGAATTTCACAAAGAGGTGGCTGGGTGGCAGGGCTCTACGCTGCAAAGTGACCTGGAGTTCTCACAGCTAGCGAAGGCAATCATGGGACTTCCAGCTAAACACCCGGCGCGTGTGGAGATGATACGAGGCATATTTTCTCGGTGAAGTGCCGGAAAAGCCGTCCATTGGTTTCATTTGAAGAGTTTGTAGAGTCCAAGCATTCACTCTGGTTTCCGGATCCAAACGTTTTATTTTATGTGCTGAAAGTCCATTGCAACTACCCTGAATGTAGTAGGGCACTTGACAATACTCGAATGAATAGTAATTATCCTTCTACTTAGCCAGTTCTACAAATGTTTATATCATAATATATGTACAGGTAAAGAGCTCTACTATAGTTCATTAAATACAAGAATGATAACGTACTGGGATAGTGGTATATGTGCAAACCCCTTGAAGTCTGGAAGAAAGGAGGATAGTCAAGCTACCTCGGTTTCTGACACTTCACAGAAAAGATCCTCGCTGTGCCGTTGTCGCCGAACGGAATGACAATTTCGTTAGACTTTTTCGCGTCGTCCACATCCTTGCCCTTGGTATCAGCGATCAAGCCAACGTCCAGATCTTCCCCCTCCTCCTCTTCGCCCAGCTCGTCTAGTCTGCGCAGCTTCTTCTTCCTTCGACCCCCAATAACCAATGCAGACAGCTTCCTGCCATATATCTGCAGAAAAGATTAATAATGTCGAAAGTCAGGATGAAAATGATTCCTTACACAACCCGAGTCAAGACCGACAGTCCACCGCTTAACATCTAACCCACGCGCAGCCGAGTGTCCATAAACGACGGATAACGGATAACAAGGAAGCGGATGCTCTTTCCTGCTGCTCGCATTGGAATACTCGTTGTTAAATCCAACACAGTGGCCCATTTCCCTCTCCCATAGGTTTGACCATGGATCGCCTTTGTTGGATCTGGCCGCAAGGTTTCGGTTAGTTGGACAGAAGACGAATGAGAAAAGAACCTTACTTGACAACTTTCCCTCCTTTGACGCTTCTCATGTTCAATGAGGTCCAAGGATCCAAGTTTTGCGGGATTTCCGTGATCAGAGCCATCTCCTGTACCTTGCGTAAATCCTTCACAGCATCATTGACTTCTTCCTCATCCCCATCGACAACGTCTATGCCACCCAATCTAGTCGGCTTTCTCGCCAGCGGCTGCCTACTGGCATCGTAATATGGGTATCGTGGGTCCGAAGGCAATAACCCTGCATGGACCACAAACAGGTGTGCATTGGGCACATACAACTTCAACGGAAGGTCCAAAAGATAGTTGAAATGTTCCGAGTCCATCTCCCTGGCAATCTTATAATGGTCGCCGAACATGATCCATTTCCTAGGGACGAGCTTCCACCACCTCTGATCCTCCTCACTTGCTTTTCTCTTTTGCATTTCTACCCAAAATTTCGCCCTGCTGGGGTCCAGATTTGACTCGTGCCATTGTCTCTCGGTGCGCTCGAGCCATCGTTTACCCTGCGGCAGTGTGTGTATCCAGTCTATCCACCCCCGCCATTCTACAACCTTCTGTTCGTGGTTTCCGCGCACCCCAGTTACATTGTTTGCAACCATAAATGCAAGAGCGGCCATAGAACCCTTGTGAGGTCCTCGAGAAACGACGTCTCCAGTGTGAACAAGAACGTCAGAGCGCGAGTCGTAGGATAACTGATCCAGAAGTATACTGCAGAGACCATTAGGCGACGCGGGGTGCAGGAATGAAGGGAATACGTGCTGAAGTGGTTCTATCATACCGTGAATATCACCAACAATAATCACTCGTTTCGTTGGGTCGTCTAATTTGTTTCATCAGAAATCAAACGGGAAAGAATGAGACAATGACTGACCTAGTGGGAACTCGCCTTCCGGCACTGTGTATAATGACTCGTAGCGGCTAAAGTCTGGAATTTCTGAAAGGCAACAACGTTGTTAAATAACACCATTTACAAGCTTGTCTTCTTACCTTGCTCATTCTCGACGTTGCCTTTCCCGGATTGGAAGACAGAACGGGGAACGCCAAACAAGAGGATATTGAGGAGGAAGAAAGAGGTGACGACGGCGTAAACCAATACTCGACGAGCAAGATACATCGCTTGACTGGTTGTTGAAGACCAGTTGATGGGTCGACAGCAAGTCGGCAGAGCTGCCTGGAAATCGCCGATTGAGCGCGCGCCGCAAATATGACAGCAAGAATGCACGTGACAAAGGTGCCATCTAGTATATGAGGCTCTATTTGTGGACCGCAGGGCAATAGGGAGAGGACCAAAGAACCAGCGATATGATGGAGAGAAGAAGAGTTTGTACAGATGGCTTCAAAGCGCCGGGCTAAGTATGATACGGTAGTATAAGCACTGGCTTGGCATTCGATTGGCAATCGCCGGACCGCCGGCTCAAGCTGAACATTCATCCTCCACTTTTCTAGTATGTAAGTGTCAAGAATGCCACTTCCATGCGCTCTCTTTCACGAATTCTTCAAACGACCAAAGCTTTGGTTCTAGATGTCTCCAGTTTTTAAAAACGTAGGTCACCGCTTCCACCAAATCCGAGAGTTCAGTCGCCGCTGGATGAGCAGAAGGGTGTTCCTCAATTGTATGATTCGAAAGTCTAACAGGTGCTTCCAGAGGGTATACCTTGACTCGTTCGCGAGTATATTGCTTTTATTCAAAAAAAATTAAGAGGACAAAGAGCTGCGACATAATTGAACTTACAGATCCCTCAAAGATATCCAGATAACCCATGTCTTTCGCAGTCAACCCAACGACTAAGGTCCCTCGCCCATTATTTTCCATTTCATTCAGGTCGTGATCGAACAGCTCTCGGCTCTTCGTATAGGGAATAACTCCAGGATAATCCGCGTACTGGATAAGGGTTTCTCGTTAGGAGGTTACACGTCGCGTTACGACGTAGCTCGTACCTTGACTTTGTGGCGGGTATAGTTCTGCAAACTATACAGTTAGATATATTTTGACCCATTATACGAATTTCTAACCAAGAGTAGCGCCGGACAAACTTGTAGATGGGCACCATCGTTGCGAATCACCCGTTTGAGAATCTTCGGGTGCATAAGAGTGCCATAGAAAAATGCGCTTGTTTGCTCCATAGCTAAAAGTTGCGACCTGGACTGATACCTAAGCACGTTGTCATGAACCGATGTAACGGTTCTTACCTCCAATGAGAATCAGACGCATCATACCATTTATGTGCACTCTCCTTCAAAAAGTCGTCGAATGACCAAAGCTGCGCTTCTAGATTTTCCAGGTCACCATATACATACGTCGCTGCGATCACTGGTGCTGAAAGGTTGGACAAGGAGGCCAGAGGAGGTGGCTGGACAATGTCGTTGCCTTCGATATTGCGCGCCGAAATACGTGAAAGTGGTTCCAGAGGGTACACTTCGACGCGTTCGCGGGTGTACTCCTGCAGTTCACCAACCATCAGCAGGAGCCACGACATCAGAAAGGGCAGCGTGCATTTCCTTCAAAGAAATCCAGATAAGCGACGTCTTGCGCCGTCAATCCAGTTACTAAGGTTCCCCGAACAGTCCTTTCTACTTCTTCCAGATCGCAACTGAGCAGTTTTCGGCTTGCACTATAGGGAGCGATCCCAGGATAGTCCTCGCCCTGATAAGACCGGGCATTCATGTCACGTTCACGAAGTTAAGCGGCCAAAACATAGAGCCGCACTTTGACTTTGTGGCGAGTGTACTCCTGCATTACAAGGTGTGAGAAGCGTGTAGGCTTGAATCAAACGACTCACCAATAAAAGAGCTGAGCACAATTGCAAATGAGCACCATTGTTACGAATAACTCTCTTCAATATTTTTGGGTGCCTAAGGGTTCCATAGAAAAATAGACTCGTTTGCACCATTTCAGACAAGGATACTCGAGGTATGGGGTTGAAGCGGAATCTTTGGGAACAAGCGCCATTGCGATAAGAATTGGCCTTGGTTGTCACACAAGTCACCCAACACAAAAAAAGTCAGTCAAGCCTTCGAAGAACTGGGACGTTCATTCCTACACAATGTCCTGCGAAAACCCCAGCGTCGACAAGGATGCCTTGATGGCTCGTAAGGAACCCTTTTTTGTGTTGTTCTTCGATTAATCAATTCCCTCAGGTCGACCCAAGTTCGATAAAACAAAGCAGTGCGTGAAATGCAAGGAGCGAACGGGAAACGTCGTTATCAGACACGCCGTATATTGCAAGTGCGTATTGAAGCTACGATTCTCTACTCACTTGTTGAATTTTTATATCAAGATCATGTTTTTTCCCTCTCATCTCGACCCGTTTCCGTAAATCTTTGGAACCGTCAGTAAATCCAACCCCAGATGGTCCTCGACGCAAGGCCCTGAAAGCCTCTGGAAGTCTTCTAGTCGGGCTCTCCGGAGGTCTAGGATCCACAGTCATGCTTGATCTTGTCGCCAAAACGTACTTTGGTGCCCCAAGCGTCGCCGACCTAGGAGAAGAGGCACCACCTTCGAAGCCGAAGGGCGGAAAGGAGCATCCGCGAAATATGACAGGAAAAGATTCTGAAATATGGAGAGGCGTTCCAGCTGTGTGCTATGTTGAAGTTTGTGGTGCATTTCCTGGGGTAAGTCCGACTTTACGACTTATATCCGTGAACGAGCTGAGATGGGAGCATAAGTAGGCGGAGGATCGAACCGAGAGGGTGCGCCAAGTTGTGGAGAGCTATGCAACGACCTCTCCACCTTTTGCATTCGACTTCATTCCTCTTCGCCTCGAGGACGCTTTTGATCTGGAATGGTGGAAGGGTGTTGGTGGTGGGAGTTTGGTGTCAAGTGCTCAGTCATTGGGCATGGATATGACGAATGAAAGCAAGTCATTTTACTCGCTTGTTCTCCCCAAGCTCCTTATCTAAAATTTTGCAGAGCTTCTTTTCACCCCACCCCCATCATCGACCCCAATACTCGCTCTACAAGCCTACCTATCCTCCCTCCCCACCCAAACTGCAATCCACAGCGCCACTCAAACCCTCGTGCGCCTTCTTCTGCTGTACACAGCAGCTTCACGGCGGGCGTCTCATGTCCTACTGGGAACCTCTCTAACTTCCTTGTCTGTAAACCTCATCTCGGGAATCGCCCAAGGTGCAGGATTTTCGGTCGCGGAGGAGGCGATGGAAGAATGGCGTGGAGAAGGAAAATCGGGAGAGTTAACTCCTCCAATCCGCATCGTGCGCCCTCTTCGCGACGTCGGGATGAAAGAGTGTGCTATATGGGCTTGGTGGTGTGGGTTAAGAATCGTTGGGAGGGAGCGATATTTAGGCGGGACGCAAGGAATTGGCTCATTGACAAGAAGTAAGCCGTCCTTTCGTACTTTTATTTCCCTTCTACATCCACCAACCAATGTGGTAGATTTCATCACGGGTCTGGAGCGTGATTACCCTGCTACGGTATCAACAATTGCACGTACCTGCGCAAAGCTTACGCCAAAGGAGGGGTCTGATGGCGTATGCCTCCTTTGTCAACGGTACGCGGCACACCACATATCTATTGAAAAACACAGTGCCAATATGCGCTCCTTTCAGACCCGCGCAACATGGTGTACAGGAATGGAAATCACGAACGTCAATAAGGTCGTATAACCACGCCTCTTTCTCGTCGTCGGGTCACGAAAGGCCACCGCATCTCGCGAACGCCACAGATCGTCCTCAACACAGGACAGAACCTTCCCCTTCTTCGCACCTTACCCCACATCTTTGTTACGCATGCCACACCACTTTGACGAGTCGGAGTAGCCGCGGGAATGTTAAACAAACCTCTGACTCAAAGGTTGTGCCATTGCCTTTGTGGGTTGGTGCGAGTCTAAGTCTCGTGCCAACGTCTGAGGATTCTTCGGGAGAGGTATGGGCGACGCGTAGGATGGGTGATGGTGAGATGAAAGCCGCTATTGGAGATTTGTTGTTGAACGATAGCTAGAGCCTATGTTGTCATGGTTCTGCAGTCAATTATTCTTTTTGAAAGAATGAGGACAGAAGTCCGGATCTAGTACCACGTTCAGCTGAAGATCTCGAGGTATGGTACAAGTCGCAAGAGGTTGTCCTTGAGTTCCGCTTCAGGTGCCAGTGGTAGCCTATGTCATGTTGCGAGGATCTATGCGTAAATTACAAGTGGGTCAAGTACTCTACATAGTTCGAAATGATAGGATAGAATTGTTGATTGTCCCATGATAACTGTCCATTTTGAATGACTCTAGGTATGTTGAAAGAACGTATGTCCCGTCATGTGGGAACAGGACATCTACTGAGGTGCTCCAGAGGGGCAGAGCCTGGAAGATGAAAATAAGTAATTCATCCATCATACAGGCGATTGAATGGGTACCTGGATAAAACCAGAACGCGACTCCAATGATCACATATAACGCTAGAAAATACTGTGTCGATATCTCACGAAGATAGAGAGAAGGTAACTAACAAACGAGAATCATCCCTTCCAGCCAATTAGATTTGCCATCTGCAACCACATAATTCATGGTTTGGACTAATCAAGCCAGGATAGTGAGGTTTGTCGTGCGAAGCTGAGATAGATTGATACACGAACCAGAAATATATAGAACCTGAACGAGGGGAAAGGGTGAGATGAGACGATAGGCGGCTGAAGTAGATAAGAGTATTCACCAATGACTGGAAGGGGTCCATCAGGAGGGACAGAGGTTTGCCCATTATCCACGCGAGAATGACCATGAATCTATGAAGAGTGCGGGGTAAGCAAGGAGGCCACAGCCTGATTCAGAACACAAACGGGATGACGAAGAGCGCCGTTTGCTGTCAAGAGTATATTTAACACTGACTGAACCCGAAGACTAAAGAACACGAACAATTGTCGAACCTACGGCAACGCCGATGCTGAGTGTGAGTTCATCCTTAACGGAGACTCGCATCGCAGTCAAACATTCTGTGTAGCAGGTGAGATGTCATTTTCAACGGTCCAAAAAGATTCACATACCAGCAATGGAACTGACGCCTGGAAGCAAAATGAGGGCAACCCACTCCTTGTTAATGGTGGTTGAGATTCTGTCCATCGATTCGACAAGCCAATCAGCGCTAACAGCCACAGCCTATACGTTGTCTAAAACTTGTTGAGTGCATCAAGGCAAATCACGTACAGCCGTGACTGTGAGTAGAAGAATTATCGTCAACGCCCAACTGAGTTGAGGCTTCTTCTTTGGCGGCAAGGGATCCACGGCTTGTTCTCGAGGTGTTTCGCCTCCTTCATCGTCTCCAAACACTGTGCTTGACTCCGTGCTGGCTCCACTACTCACAGTATACTCGCGAGACATGGGAACTGATCCTGGGCGAGGATCGTTTGGCGGGCGTAGAAGTCGAACGGTAGGTCCCTCAGCAGAGAAGTATACGCTCTCACCAGGACTTGCCAAGGTCACTTCAGAGGGCGATGAGAGTGGTGACGCATATGGTCGCCAAGGAGGGGTGAGAGAAGTTGTAGAGTCATTATTGATCATCCTTCTGAAATCGGACATGCTATCCGTCTTCACAAAGGTTGCTATTCTAGCTTTTCCATTCCGGATGAGGGCTGCCCTTTCCTTGGATATGGTTTCTGCAACAGGAAGTCGACTGCTCTTTTTGTTATGCTCGTCGTTGTATAGATGGGTATGAGACCATAGTTGGAAGAGGAGGTAGCACGCGTAAACTAGATTAAAGAATGTTAGAGCCGACACAAGAGCCGAGGAGCGTCCTTACTGCATAACAGAACAATAGAAACCTGTAGAGACGCATTTAGATAGCTAGTCGTGTTGCAGATCTGAAACTTACGCCGTGACTCATGTGGAGAATACTCCGTTTCTGTAAGGCAGGAGATGTGGCGTTGTGCTCACTATTGAGGGCGAAGTGATACGCGGCTGGTAATAACACAGCGCCAACACTGATGCTGAGCAGCGATGAGTGCACTTGGGTAGCAGCTGCAGGTTGATGTAAAAACGGTTGAAAACGCGTTAGGAAGTGAACTGAACTTACTCGCGTCAAAACCCTGCTCGGAAAAACGCATTCCACCCGCAAGAAAACATAATCCGAGGACAAGAACTTCGGAATCAAAGTAAAAAAGAACGGAAAAGGATGGCAAGCCAAGGCTGCTCACGAAGTTTGCTTAATATAGAGCCCACCACTGTAGAACACGTCAGTCTTTGATCGATAGTATCCTGTTGGATGGACATACGGGATGATTGTACAACGCGGAGTTCGCACTTGCGCAAGGCACTAATCTGCAAACATGTCAGAATAGCGAATCGTCTGTGAAGCACGGTGCTCACGCCGACGACCATCTCAACACTTTCAAGAAAGTTAGGGAGACGTATGCGTGAAATAGCATTGGCATCTCACAGGTTACTCTATGTATTGTGTGAGCTTGGGGGGCGTACGATTAAGTTTCAAGGAACGCACCATGCTAGCATTCAGTAATCCTGTCTTTGCTCCTCCAATTCTATTCGCAAGCTCCTTGGTCGCAAGGTCGTGAAGCTAATGCGGCTTTGAGCCGATGAATTTGCATTGCTTTACGGAGGGATAACACACCCTGACGAGAGGAACAAGGGCTAAAATGCAGACTAAAAAAGAAAATAAGCCGTCAATGTGAAGGTCAGGGTGCAGAGTAACGGGGAACTGACAGGCGAAGATCAGGCTATGAATTTTCTCTTCCATGATGTTGAGCGTCCACTGATATATCAAGGTTAGATCAAGGCGGGCAACGTTCAAAAGACCTTACCGATACAGGAATGAGGAAGAGCAGAACATTTAACCCTGAAAGGACGCATACATTCAGTTCAAATGAGTGACCACGGTGAGCGACACTCACATGACCCAAACAAAATAACCCTCCAGCCTTGCAGGTGTCCCGTCCAGGCCCCCCCAATGCTGGGCGTAGCCCCCTTTTTCCTTGATGATTCCTCGCGTGCGCCTGAGGGGTAAAAAGAAGGCAACCCGTTTTCTGTGGTGCCATCTTGCATCATGAGGTGTGAGCGAGAGTCGCTCGAAAACCGCAGCTCTGGACATTGATTTTGAGGATATAGCTCATGGTCGCGTTCAATATTGGATTCAGATAGTGAGCGTTGATATTTAGAAGTGGCCGCCATAGGGAGAGAATTTTAAAGAATAGACGGGAAGTGTGTAGGAAGGGGTCACTAGTGATCGGGGCCAGCGACCGTTACCGAAGGGAGGAGGAAGAGACGAGACCTGCCAGGCTCTAGCTGGCAGTGGAGTATTTGCCCAATATGGCAAAGCACCATCCTAGTTCGGCTGAGCAAGGTTAAGCTCTGTCACGGTATTCGATGCGCATTCGGGCGTCAGTCCGTTGCATACTTGGTAGAACGTTCAACGTTGAGCAGCTGAACATTCTCTCCAGATCAGTCAGACCAGTGAATCACGCAAGGGAATATATGAACGACTAAGAGGGTCCAAGCTCGCAGCGTGAGAATAACGCGTCCGTGTCACGTAGACGTGATCAGGAAACTTGTGACATGGGACTCATTTGTTCAAGCCCTCATTCAGCATTTACCAAACCTCATTTGACTATAACTGGTTTGATTTTTGAAGGGACGTCGTTCCAAAGCCTCCATTTGACACCGTCAAGCAGGCTGTTCATATCAACACCCAGGTTTCAATGGAGGTCAACTTTCTCAACTCGCTAAATGATGCTCAACTGAGAGGTCAGACGCGACCTTCTATATCCGTCATCATTCTATTGACAAGGACTACTCTTGTAGCCGTAAAGTACTGGCCAGAGACCCCTCTACAGATTCTTGCAGGCCCAGGCAGTGGTAAAACAAAGGTAAGCCCAATTCACGACAACGGCATCGCCCCTGACCCATCTCCGCGTAACTATTAGGTCCTGACATCTAGAATTGCACATCTAATTCTCAATCACCATCTGCCACCATTCTCTATTTGCGCTGTTACATTTACCAACAAAGCTGCAAACGAAATGCGGGAACGACTGACGAAACTGATCGGAAAGGAAAGGACGTCACAACTCAGAATGGGAACTTTCCACGCTCTTTGCGCAAGATTTCTCCGGAAATATGCGCACCTCGTCAAGCTTGCTGAAAACTTCACTGTATGCGACGCAGAGGAAAGGTAGTAGAAGAGTCACGTTCATAGTGGTTATATCCAGCGCTGACCATCCTCTGCAGCAAAAAAATCATTCAGGCACTCCTCAAGCCCTACACCGCCTATCTCGCCTCGGAAAACCTCGATCTTCAGCCTGGACGAGTAGTCTCTTCGATTTCCAAAGCCAAATCGAAAGAACAATCAGGTTCTGTTTTCCTTGAAGAGGTGATCAAGGCCGAGAGAAGGATTAGGCAAAGGAACGGACTCCCGCTTGGCGACGACGTCGAGGAAAAGAAGACGATCGACCGCATCATTGGCGAAATCTTCTTGGAATACGAGAAAACGCTGAAGCGAAACAACGCCTTGGATTTTGACGACCTTTTGACATATGGCGTTAAACTATTTACGAAAAATGACGAGACCGTCATATGGTGTCGGCATATTCTAGTTGACGAATTGTGTGTCTCTTCATTGCTTTTGTTTTCTCGTCCTAATATCTGGATTTCAGCCAAGATACAAACATAACGCAGTATAAACTTATGAGAGCTCTCGCAATCGCCCGATGTGTTACCATCGTCGGGGATCCTGATCAATCCAGTTTGTTATTCTACATCACACATTTAAGGAAGTCCTAATTTTCTGCATTGCAAGTCTATGGCTGGCGCTCTGCAGAAGTGGGAAATCTTTCGAAAATGAGAAGAGGTATTTTTGTAAACCTCTCCGTCGATCGTGAAATAACTGGCATTAGATTTCCCGGACACGGAACAAGTTCTATTAGAGGAGAACTACCGTTCTACAGCTGCGATTCTCAAGGCCAGTCTTGCAATCATATCTCAAGGTACGATCTTGGGAATCTACAATGTGCTAACGCAACGCTGAGGCGTTGTCCCAGACAAATCGCGCATACAGAAGTCACTTCACACCTCCCATCCAAATGGCTTCACTCCTGTCTTATATCAAGTCCAGACAGAACATGAGGAAGCAGCTTTCATCGCGATCGAGATGAAGAGGTTGGTGGCCCACATGGGTGGGGCACTTAATTGGGGAGATTTTGTGATACTCCGTAAGCAATCCCTCGTTCGTATCTTTTCTGAAGTTAAACTTAGCTCCAAAGTCCGTTTTAACGCCTTATCGCGGGTTATTGAAACCGCGCTGCAAAAAGAGGGTATCCCAAGCAGGGTGCTTGGTGGTCACAAGTTCTTTGAACGATTAGAGGTACGTTGTAATGCACAACTAGGCCTTACCCCACATCCCCCATTATTCGCGATAGGTCAAAGATCTTTTGGCATACTTGCAGGTTGTGGACAACCCAAACTTTGTTCCTGCGTTCAAGCGAGCGGTTAACGTTCCCGGTCGGGGGATCGGGGAGAAGGTTCGTTCATCAGTTTGGTGATCAGGGAGTGTTTAACTCGATGGCAGACGGTGGCAGAGCTCATTGGGAGGGCGGAAAAGTCAAATCAGTCTCCACTCGCAATCGTTGAAGCAATTTGCGACAATAAGGCCCCCGATATCAAACCAGCCGTGAAACGAAAAGTCGCTCCGTTCGTGACTGCTATACGAAGCTTGCGCGCACAGGCTCATAACGTACGCTCAGGTTGCAAAGGCTGACTCGGCAAAGCATTGATTCTGTCGTAGAGTTCGTCACCTGCAGACCTTGTCCGCAAACTGGTTGACTTGATCAAGTACGAGGACCATCTCAAGAAGACTCAGTCAGACTGGGAAAGTAGATGGGAGAACGTCAAGGAACTGATCACTTTCGCCAGCGAGATGGAAGCTCAAAACCAGGCTGAAGAGGCTGCAGACGCCGTAGCTGGAGGAGACAATTCGATTGAGATGAGGTAGCTTCCTTCCCACTTCACGAATAACATATGCCGAGGACCTTACCACATCTCAGCACCACCCCTCTGCGGCAATTCCTACAAGCTTCGATGTTGTCCTCTGAAGGGGATAATCAATCCGAGGAGGGAAATAAAGATGTGCGTCTGTTATTTATTCCTTTTTGTCTGCACCTTTGATTATCGGTTGTTTTGGCAGAAAGTGACAATATCGACTTGTCATTCTGCGAAAGGCCTTGAATGGCCGGTGGTCATGATCCCTTCCGGTAAGAATCTATTATGTGGGTTGAAATTATCGATGCTAATTCGCACAATAGTCGACCAAAATACTTTTCCATTTTACAGAAGTGAGGACACTGCGGAAGAGAGGTGCAACACCTTCGAATCTTAAATTCATTGCTTCTAACGTTATGATTTGAATATTATAGGCGCCTTCTATACGTAGCTTGCACTCGGGCACAGTCACTTTTATACGTCAGTCGAGCAACAACACGGATGGTGGCAGGGGAGACAAAATCAAAAGAGCTCTCAGAGTTCATTTCGTCTGTTCTGAACGATAACGGTTTGAAGAATGAAATGGTGACTAGATTGGTCTTATCACTAGGTCTCAATTGACTTGCTACCAGGCTTTCTTTTCTCAACAAATTCCGTTTTTTACGCAAGAGGATCGAGCTACCATCGCCACAGTCTTACAAAGACCCCCTCCAGAGGAAGCTGAAGTACAACGAAGAGTCGCAACCTTGTTAGTCATTGACTCCTGCATCGAATTTCATTGTTGCTTCATATTATCGCAGTGAACGGAGTGGGCGAGAACATCCTATGCAAATATATTGGGGAGGAGGCCATCATGTCGCTCCCTCACGCCCCAAGAATGCATACTCTATTGGCAATGCTTCTTGTATGTTCATTCTTCCATTTCATGGCTACAAAACAGCCTCTGAACATATTACCCGAAAGATGTATGGTCTGCTGGCGGTGGCGGCATCACCAATGTACCGCAGCCAGGTTTTATTAGGCCAGCCATTCCGACGCCCCCCGCCACTTCAAAATCAGGTTACGTTTCACTTTCTTCTAGCAGTGGTGGTGAAAATCGGATTCTTGGGACATCCAGTGCTCCCTTTATTCGGCTCCAAGACCCGTCCTCCCGCCCCACCAACCGGGCAAGAGAAGTACAAGTCGCTTCGTCCTCCAAAACAACTATGTCAGCAATGCCATTATGCATGCCCTCATCCGATGACAACTTGGGCAATTGGAACGCTTCTAGCCCTTTAGCCAGGGACGCAACACAACCCCCTTGTTTTCCATCTTCACTGGATCACAATTTTTATGACTCTTCACCTATGAGGCCCTCTTCCTTCCATTCAGCTTCGAGGCAGCCCCGAAGAGCACCGCAAGCAATTGAAATCATGGATAGCAATAAACCTGCATTGCCTCACACACTTTCACGAAGGGAACCCAAAATACCACAAGTTGCACCTGCCTCACCAAAAATATTTGATGAAGATCAACCACCAACTCTGAGAACACCCTTGGTGGTTTCCACGCCAATGACGCAGTCTTTACAACCCACTGCACTAGCGCTACAGAAGACGGGCGTGAAGCAACCACAAATTGCGCCAATATTTGATGAAAATCAACCACCTGACACTATCGCGACTCCGATGCCAATATCAAGACCTGCCCAACCGATTGTACCATCAGCGCTACCGAAGACGGGCGTGAAACGGCGATTGGGGATGGGACGAATTACGTCAGGCTACTCGAACAAGAAATTTAAGCCGCCAGCGTGATCGTACATAGATACATTCATGACATCTTCCATGCTTGTCGATACCTTGAAATGGAGCTTCAAATTTTACGTCTAAGCGGAGGGAGAGCGCACATCCACGACTTTCTGCAGTGGTGAGCTGATTTAGAAGTGATTCACCAACTCTTTGGACTCTCTCAGGTACACATCTCTTCTCGATGGATTAGGGAGTTGTCGAAACGAGCAGCTGACCAATTGCTCAACAAGCGAGAGTCGCAAAATTGGAGTTGTAGTCCCCCACTCCCGGATATCTGTAGGTGAAGATAAGCAAAGAGTCACAGTATTACAAGGTCAAGGGGAAATCAGAAGTCGGTGAGTATCCGCAGCTCCAACAAAGGCGCATTGGTAGTCTAACATGCTATTGACTTGTGGCCAAAAGACCCATCATGAAGAAGAAGAAAAAACGGTACTCACTTTTCTTTGATCAAGCGGCAGAGGATATTCAAAATTTTAAAAGCCATCAGTGACCCAGCTTACGGGTAGGTCCGGCTCCACAACGCGGTTCACTGACTGGGGCTGTGCGAAATAATCTGTAGCCTCGTGTTAGCAGCGAGGCAAGTGGGTTGCAAGTGGGTTCATACGCCAGTGATCCGATGCTGTCATATTTCTCACCCATACGGATCGTCAGCGCGAAACTATAGCAGATGTGAGTTCTGTTCTCCCCATCCAAGCCTAACTTAAGAGCGAAGATAATTCTCTTACCTTTCCGATATCTCCGCTTCCTTGACGCACACCCGTAAAACCCTCTGCAACCTCGTGAGTGACGCAAGGCATGGATGCTTGTCGACCCTTAAATAATAATTGTTCAGAACACCTTGTTAAACGCCAGACTTCATTCCCGTTATTCTTCACCCCCCTCTCCCTCGATCGCGTAATATCGCAGCATGCCCACGTATGCCCACAACCGAAAAGATCACGCTCTAGCACACGATAAAGCCAACCCCCCGCCAGTCACTCCAGCAGTCACTGGTATTGATTACCCCTGTGGCGAGGACGCAACTACGGAAACAGGTACCAACGGTCATCGAGGATATATGGCCCAACAATTTTATACTCTTCCTAATGTCGCCGCATCGTCCATCGACGATGTCGCAGAACCACCAACTGACTCTAACACCCTCGACCGTATATGGGGGACTATCCGCCTGGAGAAAGAGCGAAAGATGGCGAAGGAACGACCGAAGGTGCAATCGCTAGAAGAAATCTCTAGGGAACTCGCTACTACTCCAGGCCCTCCCCCCATACAGATACCCGTTCTGGAGTCACACCACTCCGCACCGAAGTCGTTGAAGAAGCAGAAGTCAATGTAAAATTTCCGTTTTTTATCTTTATTTCTTCTTTCTTACATATATCTTTGCGGATACACAGCTCTACCTTCCGCGAATCAACGGATGGACGATCTATCGTGGCCACGTTCGAATTACCGCCTGAATTAGAGAAACAGGACGTTCATATCAGCTTTCAACGGAACCGCCTCATCGTTACATGGGAGATTATTGAAATCTCAGAGTGGGAAGAAGACGGCTGTTTCAATCGTGAACGCGTCGAGAGAATATTTCATCGAACGTTGCCCCTTCCCGAGGGCACAAGGGTGCGTCGTGGCGTTCCTCGTGGTGATCGGCCCCTGACATGTCATTTTCTTAGTTTGAAGAAATTCACGCCCAGATGACTGGCAGAGGACTAACCTTAAGATATCCTAACATGCGCTCTTATCGAGTGGAAGCCCGTTCCAGGTCTGCGGAATCCTGATCTCTTGCTCCACTTTTTGGGGCTTTGTAACAAACTGCATATTTTTATATTCGATACATCTCTCACTTTAGACCATTTGTACACTAACACTACAAGGCTTTTTTTCCGGTTTGACATTCTCCCCCTTCTATAATAAAGTTGCAATCAATCGAGGTCATTGAAATGGGTTGTTCTTGTTGAGAAGTGCTTTTGGAAAGAACGCCTTCGACAAATACGATTTTCGGGAGAATTTAAATCAATGCTAGCGAAGGAATTGACAGAAACCCTTGAGACCGAGATTGTCGGGAATTAATGCCGTACTCGAAGGGCTAGAAGCAGTTGTTGCTGCCGATGCTGGTGCGCTAGAGTTAAAGACCGGACTGGATGAGAGAATCACCTGGTAGCTTTGGGGCTGCAAAGCAATGAGAATGTTAGGATCCGGGTCGTAATCTCCAGCTTCACGGCCCGATTGGAGAGGTCGAAGGCTCAAGGACCCGTGATTGCTAACTTGGGGAATGTGAAGGAAGTGATCTGAAGGGTGTCGTTTGCGTGGCACCGATGAGCATTTCGCAATGTAGATAGGAGTCTGACATCTGGACACCTGAGGAACATTCGGATTCTTGACAGATTTTCTAATAAAAGACTGGAGTGAATTGAGTGTGGACGGCATCAGTTGCCGCCAATCCATGGTTGATTTTCTCGCGGTTTCCGGGCCTAGTAGCGTAAGAACGGACATCATCTTTTCCCGATGGGTGCTTACAAGGCGTCTGAAGAGATCCATTCGCTTCGTTTTCAGTAACAACGCGAGCAGTTTCAAGAAACCCATCGAAGAAGGAGGCTAGTGGTTTGAGATCTTTCTTTTCTGGAAAATTAGAATGCTGGCAAGAAGCTGTATCCAGACAAGTCGGTAAAATGCTCGGTGCAACAGGCGTAGTTTTTTCAGACCGATGCACAGAGGATATCGGAGAGGAAGGCGCACACGCGATTAAACTTGGAGACGAAGTGGGTCGGAGATCCTCCGTATTTTGGTTAGCCTGAGAAGAATTCAACTCCACAACTTCGAAAGCGAGTTGCTCGGGTCGTCCGCTTCTATCAAGTGACGAAACAGTTTTGGCTTGATTTGACCTAGCTTGTGTTAGACAACTCAAACCAAAAATAACGACTCACTTTGGACGACAGGGTGTCGTTTCGGCTTGAAGCAGTGGAACAAAAGACAAGGGAACACGGTCATCAACACGCCGCGGGAGAGACTTGATTTGTGTACGCCGTGAAACCTTCTGCTCCTGCGGTTTGAGGCCAATAAAAGAACTAGCATTTGAGGAACCAGCTCTCCATCTAGAAAGTGGCTGGCACTGCGCCTCCGAGGAGGTTGATGGCGCAATCCTCCGTGAGGAAAATGTAGCTGAGCGGAAGGGAACGGCCTTTCGTGGATCAACCAATGTCCAAGCTCTACGTTTAGAAGAAACTAAACCACAATCGTCGTCCGGGGAGAATTGGAGGGGTTTGCGGAATGAATCAGTGTCTTGAGCTTCAACAACGTTGTCAATGGGGTCACCGCCGGATTGCACAGCAGCATGAAATAAACGGTCTCCAAGAGACTTGACAATCTTCTTCTTTTTTCTTTGGATTGGAGAGGAGTGGGGCGAGGGGCTCTCAAGGCCGGAATTCTCAGGCGCAGAGCCTCGCCGAATATTACGCGAGCGGAGGGAAATGACGTTGTCGTCCAGCTCAGCTGCGTTTGTCTTCTCTCCAGTGGTGGATGAGGCGTTCAGATCGACAACCTTGACTTTCTTTCGACCATACACCCTAACATTGGGCGCAGGGTTATGAGATCTCTTGAGAAATTCTTCCACAGTGAGTGTATTCGTCAAGTTGGTCTGTTCTGGTTCTGTCAAGGGTGATGTAACGTTGGAAGATTCGTAGAGTAGCCCTTTAATCTCAGTTCGACAGGTGGAGGTCGCGACACAAGATTCAACGTGAGCTCCGCTACGTTGCGGGCTAAACAAAGTGTTCGAGTTCGGGGAGGTGTAAAAGCCAAGGCAGGGATCGACTGCATGCCGCTTTCGCTTTCTTCTGATCTTTGAAGGGTATGTTACTTGGTACAGAACTTGAAAAAAAGTATACCGCCTACCACAAAATCTGACGTCGGAGACAATTCCATGACATTGCAAGACTCAAGTCGTCCAACAACTTGCTCGGATAAAGTTACTGAGTCAAGGTGGAAATCTGTTTAGCTAATGTGTGATCAAGGTGTGACATGACACACTTCAGCAGTTCATGATCAAGCGAAGTTCAAGGTTTCTCAAGGTATCTCGACGGATATATAACCTACACTCGCTAAATCTTGCTTCTTTTCTTCCATTTACAATGACCCCTTCTGCAGTTCAGTTTCCAGCTCAACTTTCAGCGCCTTCAACACATCCACAGCAGCCTTGATTTGCTCTTCTAGTTCGGGTGTCTTTGGCGTCTGCCCCTTCAACCCACGCACAACTAACCCCTGCTCGGCGATCTTAGCTTCCAACGCCAACGCTTCAGGAGTTCTCGGGCCATCGGCGACGGGATTGGCCTTCTTCGAAGCAGCAGCAACTTTCCGTTTTGACTTGCCAGGGTCAGCTTTCAATGGGTCGGGGGTTGCCACCTCTGGACCAGCTGCAACTTCATTGCCACCAAACTTGATGCGCCAGACTTCCGCCATACTCTCCTCAATCTTCTTGAACAGATGTTCTGGCTTTCCGATTGTATGCCCCGCAAGGATGTCGGTTGAAAGCACTTCAGGGACAACCCGCGCTGGTACGTTGAGTTGAGCAATGATGGAGTCGGATGTAGCAGGCATGAAGGGGTAGATGAGGGATGACAATACATAGATGAGATTGACTGCGCGTGAGATGACCTGCGCACATCGTGTGGGATTCTCTGCCATCAAAGCCTTATTCAGGCCGGAGGATTGGAGATAGGTATTGCCACGGTTGGAGATGAGCATGATTATTTGCAGACCCAAGCGGAGCTTCACTGCTTCCATGGCGTCGATGTAGTCTCGAAGCAGATTGTTGACGATGGAGATGAATTCTCCGTCAAGAGGGTCGTTGGGTGACAAGGGCCCTGGCGGGTCTCCGCTCTCTGGGATTACGCCGTCATACTGAGACGAGACGAATTTAAGGGCACGGTTGACAAAGTTGCCAAAGCTGCTCAGATTATCAGTCACCGTAAAATAGCTTGATTAATGACGCACTTGTTTAGCAGGACATTGTTGTTGGCGGCAATCTATGAAAGGTTGTGAATGGAAACGAAGACATCGACCTTCTCGACTCACACATTCTGGCCATGAGAACATGGCGTCGGCCGTTTCTGGTCTCGTCGACAGCAGGTAATATCGCCACACGGACGAAGGAATGCCAGTCTCCTTGGCCGCTGGTCCGAAAACACCACGATTTTTACTCTTGGAAAACTTGCCACCCTCGTAATTCAGGTATTCTACAAACAATTGATACCACAAGGCGGATAGAAAGGTTGACAGACTAACCTGTTGTCGACAGATGGTGCAGCTTCGTCCAGTCGCGTCCATCACCAAGCTGAACTGAAGGCCAGTAGACGGTATGGAAGTACACGTTATCTTTACCCATAAATTGGTAGAGGTCAACGTCTCTGGGATTGAACCACCATTGTTTCCACTCTGGCGTATAGTTGGCGGTAATACTCGGGTAACCGATAGGCGCGTCAAACTAGAGTGGCTTAGGCTACGTTTGCCGCTGTTGGGAAAGATGTTTACTTACCCACACGTCTGTTTGAAAAAGACCACGTTAAGCAGACTATGAGCTGAAACTGACTTGACACTCACAAAGGACTTTTCCGGCCATCCCAAAAGTATCTTCCCCTTCAATAGGCACCGGCACACCCCACTTCAAATCTCGCGTCAGAGGTGTAGGCATCAACCCATTCTTCAAACGCGCGTCAATGATCTCCCCATCACCATTTATCACCGCATTCGGAGACCATTTCCCTGCTTTCCATGACTTTTTAATCCATTCTTCTGTGCGTGGCTGGATAGCATCAAGTTTCAAGTACATGTGCGCCGAGGTTTTAGTCGTCACCACATGTGTCTTATCAACAAGACACCGAGGCTTGATGAGTTCGATGGCATCGAGTGTTCTGCTGCATCCGTCACACTGGTCTCCGCGAGCGTCCTCGAAGCCGCAGTGGGGGCATATACCTTCAACAAACCGATCTGCAAGGAACCTTGAAACATTCAGCTTGTGAAAATCAAGAGCGAGCTCATGCATACTTCGGACAACCTTCGCAGTAAGTCTGTTCCTTCTCCTGTTTCTCCAGTACTCCGTTTTTGCCAAGATTTGTATATATTTCTTGCGCGATTCTTGGAGAAGGGTCATGTTAAATCAAACTTATACACATAAAGCTTACTCGGTATGAAGTGGCGTAGAAGTGCGTCCAAAGTGATCAAAGCTGTAAGCTAGTCAATGTGGCGTTAGTTAGTCTTGAGCACTACACTCACCCGATGTCGAACCACTCATAGGTCTCCTTATGCAGCACATGGTATTTATCACACAGCTCGCGCGGGGTAATTCCTTCCTTCAAGGCTTGAGTTTCCGTCGCAGTCCCGTATTCATCTGTTCCACAAATGTACAAGGTGCGCCTGTTTCTCGTCCCTGAAAGATTTCAGATTTATAGATAAGTTTTCCCCGATTGAAAAACACGCACGGTTATATCTATGGACAGGATCAGTCAACTGCGATACTGCATGCCGAGATGAATTGCATACCGACTGAAGACATCAGCACTCAGGGTACTGCCGATAATGTTACCTTCATTCAAAAACTCAGCCCCACTGTGGTCACGCGAGGCAGACGAAATTTACCGAGATGGGGAACATTGTTGCAATATGGCAGTGCAGAGGTAATTAGGATGTTCTTTTCGCCTTGCTTGGGCAATCTAGACGAACAATCAGACGCCCTGCGATATGAAGAGAGAGAAACCAGAGCGTACGGAGCTTCCTGGCCTGGTGGTGGTATCACACGCAAAACATCGTCTCCCGATCTGACATTCTGTGTCATCGTAGATATGTGCGCTGCAAGGGTAGGAAAATGGTTGCTGGACGAGAGGGAGGAGGCGGTTAATCGATGAGCGCGGTGAAATATGAATCGGCCACTCATCCAGAGGAATGACTCGGCCAAACAACACCCAAACAACGCGCTACTAAATTCTCCGAGAAACTCGCATCATCGAGCACGGATGCTTAGCGAACGTTGGAACGTTGACCAGCGATAACCACCGACAACATGACGCTTTCAAACTTGCTGAGGTGAGCTCATAACAATATCCTCGGTTCACCATTCTCACTGGACGCCTCAGGACTCTTAGACCCTCTGCAAGTTCTCAACCAGAATTCACACCTACTGCGGTTATCTTGGGCCTCGCAATAGGATGCCTCATATGCTTTACCAATTTGAGCTTGGGTTTACAATCAGGTTGGATATCGATGTTTGTTATTCGAATTTTACTCGTGTCAGTCAACTAGCGTTGAAGTCGACGGGTCAACAGGATGTCCATCCAATCTGCTTTGATTGGGTTTCTAATCTCTCGAATACTACCGACGCCCCTTACACCACAGGAAATCATCGTGGTACAGACGACGGCAGTGGCTACTGGGACTATGCCTCTTGCGGCAGGATTTGTTGGAATCTTGCCAGCGTTGGGAATCCTTAGTGAAGAACGTGATGGCGTGCCTCCAATTCACCTCACTTGGCTGGCAACCATCGGTTGGTCGTGTTCCGTTGCTTTCTTTGGGTAGGTTTCCTTCCCTTATTTTCCTTCAGAATTTCTCAACTGGCCAGTGTCTTCCTTTCCCCGCCTATCCGAAAACAAGTGGTTGGTAGCCTGGCTATTCAACTCCGTAGAATCACTGACAACGTTTTCAATAGATTATTGAGGAACAACTTTCATTCCCTTCAGGCACAGCTACTGCCCAACTCATCTCTGTGCTTCACAAATTACCCCCACCGGATACCTCCATCCGTCGAAGGCAAGGATATCATCAAGTGGATTTGGAGGATGAGAATAGACGGGATGACGTCCCTACAGTTGACCAAGAAGGAGAAGCCGTCGTGGAGCGCGAAATCGTTGAGCATGAGGGCTGGCAAGATCTTGTCTGGAGTTTTGTTGTTTCTGGCTCTTTGACGGTACGCATCAGAATGCTTTTGCTCCCGCGTAATCGATTTATGACCCTTCACAGTTGTCTGCATATTTTTTTCCCGTCCTTTTTGCACTCCCCATGTTCGGGAATCATCTAGCAAAGGAATGGCTTTGGTTTTTTACACCTAGCCTATCCTATGTTGGTCAGGGTATGTATCGTAACAAAAAATAGAGGCGAAGTCGTTTCTCAGTCATTGTATAGGTATCATTATGGGATTCCCCACAACATTAAGCATGAACCTTGTAGGTGGACCGCAATTTCCGGTTTGTTTGTTTTGACCCAATACTAGGGCATGCTCGTCGGCTGGGCCGTCCTCTCGCCTCTCTCCAAACTTTCTGGTTGGGCTCCAGGCCCTGTAGGCGATATGTCAAATGGCGCTCGCGGATGGATCCTCTGGGTTTCACTAGGCATCATGTGTGCTGACAGCCTGGTCTCACTCGTCCCTGTCGCCATAGAGTTCATCACCAATATCATCTGGTCACGAAAGAAGAGTTATTCCGCCTTGGGAGAAAGTCCCCACCAGAACCACGAAACAGAAACTGAGGGCAGGCTTGTGCCGAATAGTTGGGTTGCAACCGGGTTGTTCGTCAGCATTGTTGTCGGGACTTTTCTTGTATGGGTTGTGTTCGGCCATGAAGGGATCAAACCTTGGGCGACGCTATGTGGCTTCGTTCTTGGAGGATTGTTGAGTATCATTGGGTGGGTATTCGGCTTACAGTCGTCTATTTGTCTGGCAGCTCATTCTTTTGTTGCAATGCAGAGTGCGTGCGCTTGGGGAGACCGATTTAAACCCAGTGTCTGGCCTGGGCAAGGTCTCGCAGTTATTTTTTGCATGGATCCAACCTGGCAATATCGTAGCGAACATTATTGCTGGAGGCGTAGCAGAGGCCGGCGCACAGCAGTGAGTTCTGAATCTGACATTTCTATCATCTTTAACACCCAATTAGAGCGGGCGACCTGATGCAAGATCTCAAAACTGGACACTTATGCCATGCTTCACCGCGAGCCCAGTTTTACGGCCAGCTAATTGGTTCTTCAATCTCCATTGTGGTCACGACGACCGCCTTTACGCTGTATAATCGGGCATATGTCATTCCCGGGCCCTCGTTCCCAGCTCCGACGGCCTATGTCTGGCTGAGCCTTGCACGGCTTCTTCGTTAGTTCTGACAATCCAGTTCATTTAAAATTCATTGACTTTGATTCAACCAGGTGATGGACAACTTCCCGAGAAGAGCGCTATGTTCATGATCATTTTCTCTATCGCCTTTGGACTCCTTTCAGCCATCAAGACGTATTCTGGGAGAAAACAATCCTGGTTCTCTAAGTGGATTCCATCAGGCATCGCATTTGCGATAGGATTTCTCAACACACCCTCCTTTTCGATTGCGCGTCTAATTGGAGGTGTAACGGAGTACCTTTACCACAAGAAGTACGCGGGAGCTGATGGACATGACATCCGACTTGTGGTCATCGCCAGTGGATTCGTTTTGGGCGAAGGAGTTGTCAGTATTGTTTCATTAATTTTACGGACGTTTGGGGTTGGGGTCATTAGTTGTTTTGGATGTGGACACGGACTTTGTGGAGGCTGTCCTGTTACTCCATGAAGATTTAATTGCTTCATTTATCACTAGAGTTTGACATTGTTCCAATGTCAACAAAAACCTTGCTTGTATTTCCAGCTGAAAGCAGAACGATAGGCCATGCCAGATTCCGTGATGAGTAAGCATGAGGCACGAGTGCAAACTCATCTTAGGATAAGATAACGTGTGTGCGTCAGAACCAGACGTCTTACCCAGATGTAGGCACCAATGAATGTCTGCGTTTCTGGGAGTGCTTCTCCCATCACCTTCGGATCTGGTTCTGACGCTAAGAAAGTACCTGTCGGTTACCTCACAAAAATTTTTTGACCTTCGACGTTTTCTCCTGATGGCTGACACCCCCACTGTTCCATCTGGTACTGCTTCGACCGCTCCTGCGGCCTCTACCGATAATGTGCAGTCTCGTACGACTACCGACAGCGTTCCGCCTCGTGTTCCGCGTACCCACACCTCCCCTGCTATTATCCAGCTTTTGAAGAATCTCTCTCTTACCAATATCTTGCAACGGAATAAAAGGATCGAGGCCGACAACGATGCCAGATCTGCCAAGACATTGAATAATGCTCTAGACCCAGCTGCCCATCCTCAACCGGGATCAGAAGCAGCCTCGTTGATCACCATTGATCCCGAGGATCTTGCCCGATTAAGGGTTCCCGCCTTCTTTGCTTCCGTCCGTGACTTTGTTTATACTAGCCTGGCTAAGTATCTTGCGGACGAAGATTTGAAAGACAAGGACGAAAAGAAGAGGAAGGACGACGACATCCTTGCAGAGGATGCCAGGGCCTCTAAAAGGCGTTGTATGGATGGTTCCAACCATGTCGAGAGAGTGGTTGGGGAACCCATTCCCATTGAATTCCCACAGTCTCTATATGACACTGAACTTTGTGTTGCAGTTCCCCTCCCCTTCTTCCTTACTCGGAATTTACGGGCCCTGGTTGATGAGGCATCAACCCTGCCTACTGTCAAATCTAACCCTGCGCCTGGAGAAATCAAGGGAACTTATATTCTAAATATAGAAAAATTGTCCACCCGCTTTGGGAAGGAGTTGACCCTCACTTGTAGTCAATGGACTGAGGCTGCTGCCAATATGTGGAGCTTCCAGGTCTCGAGGGACAAACTGGGTAGTGAGGGGGAACACGCTACGTGGTTTGAAAAGCATTTTAATTTTTTTAACATGCTAAACAAAAGGGACGAGTTATACGACGCTTGGAAGACCATGGAGCTCGAGTTTCGCCAAGACCACCGAAGTCGCCATCTCAAATTTAGTGCGACGGATTACGACAAGGCTCTCGGTCTTACTGAAGAAAGTCACAAGTTGCGCACGGAATTTCATGATCTTACTGAGGAAAGTCACAAGTTGCGCAAGGAATTTCAAGATTTCGTGAATTCTTCCCAACCGGCGTTTGGGCGGTCGGCTCCGTCCTCCCAGGGAGGTGGTTCCTTTTCCCAGAGGACCCTGCCACGAGGTCCTTCCCAGTCGCTGACTTCTTCTCAGCCCTTTCCCTCAGGCAGCGGCAAGTCCTCCCCTACGGCCGTCTGCCTCATCTGCGCGCACAAGGGGCACACCGTTTTCTTCCACCTCAAGGCCACCACCCCGCCAAAATTTGCCGACGGAAAAGTTGTATGGGCAAAATGCAACCCAGGCTATGGTCTCGCCACACCCGACAACCAAATCCTCTGCATTAACTGGAACGTCCGCGGCACTGAGGCTGCCTCCCAATGCACCTCCCTCCATAAGGACGACCGCCTTCACCTTTGCTCCTTCTGTGGCAGCAAAGGCCATCACGCCCTCTCCTGGACTTGTCGCACCAAACCCGCCTGAAGATTTATTCACTGTCGCATGTCCCCTCCCCTTATCTTACACTGATTTCTCCCCTTCTGTTGTTCCTCGCCTCCCGCTTCCGTCTTCTTCTCCACACCATTGTTCCATTTTCGAGCGCATCACGCACCCTTATCATCCCGAAGTTTTCGATTCTCTCCTTCTCAAGCATGGCCTCTCTTCTGTCTACCCCCTCCTTTCTGACAACCTACGGCGTGGTTTCCCTCTTGGACACATGCCGGCATTGATGGAATCCGTCATCTTGCCTAACAACCCCTCTACTTATCCTTACCTGCAGGATATCCAAGACTATTTGGATAAGGAGCTTCTGGCTGGTAGGATGTCTGGCCCCTTCTCTCGTGAGGAGGTGGAACTTATTCTACGCGGCCCTTTCTTCTCTTCTCCCTTTGTTGTCGACGTCCAGCCACAGCAACCCGGCACACCTGACAAGATTAGGATTTGCCGACACCTTTCTAAGGCTTCGAAGTCGCATCCTTCCGTCAATTCACATATCCACAAGGGAGATTTTCCAACACGTTTTGATTTGGCCTCGAAGGTTGCCGAAATCGTGAGTCTCCCTCTATCAGTTCCTTTCCCCTCCCCTTCTCCGCCTTTTATAACACACCCCTTTGCGTTTTGTGCGTCGGGTGTTTTCTTCTTTGCTGCAGCATCCATTTTGAGATTTTTGCATTCTTAATGCGCTGTCTCGGGTTTTCTCCTTTGATACTCTTGTGCACTTTGTGCTTTCTTGTGTTTGCGCATCTTGCGCATTCCTTGTCTTTCCGACGTCCGTCTTCTCGTTGTCTCTGGACTCCCTTTGGAGTTCCCTATGCTCCCTTGTGCTCTTGCGCCTCTCTCGACAGTCGAGCACTTCATGTGTCCGTCTCGTGCCCCTCTCCGTCTCTTCCTCTTCCTTTGCGTGTTCCACGCGCCCTTTCTCTTAT